CCGGATTAGGTGCTGCTACACAGGTCACTTTTAATCGTGATCAGGCCCGATCGTGATAAAGACTATCACGGTCCGCGAATCGCAATCTGGCTGAGAGAGCGCGATTTCGTGTCGTTTGCACCCTCTGGCCGAGCTTGTTGAAAGAAAAAGAAACAAGAAAATCAAGCATAGTTCTGTAAAAACAGATTTTAAAAGCTAGATATTTATTTGTAAAAGAAATTTTAAACTTTTTCAATGGGAAAAAATTCTGTAAATATGCATATTTTAGGATTCGTATTGACCGCATGTAGTTATGGGAGAAGCAGACGATAAGCGGACGACAAGTTCAACTCTTGCACCATCGCAGCAGTTAGAGCACCTCGAAACAAACTGATTATGAGTGTCGCCAGCTTTTGGACTATGCCACAGTGTACACGCACTTCGTGGTCGAATGAAGAGACATTTACAGTAATTAACTGCTGAGAGGAGCAACTGAAAGACTTCAGGCGCCTGAAGTGAAACTGTGGTGTGTACGAGATTCTGTTTCGCTGCGACTGGATGGCTACGAGCAGGTGCCATCAGAAATGAAAGTGAAGATTAAGATTCTCACACAGCAATACAGGTAAGCCCAAAAAAAACTCTACCGAATGACGGACTTAAGAAATTACTTTTCTAGTGGCAATGCAAAGTTTTTGACATTCGAGCAGTTCTTACTCGATTAACATATTGCTGATAAATAGCTCCATTGAAAGATCGTACGCTGTGTTTTGTCAGCGACATGTTTTACGGCATATATGCCACCTGGTGCATTTCATCTTATCCAAGCTCGAACCAGATTAGCTTGGGCCGTGTAGCAGCAGTCATGAAGTTCATCGCGATCAAAAAAACCGATCCGGATCACCCTGATGATGATTAAAAGTGCACGTGTGACACCGGTATAAAATTTCAATGTTTCACACTTTGCTTATGCAATGGTCAGCACATGATTTATGCTCTGCACTGTTCATTTACAATGGCTAGTCCTGGAGAAGAGACCTTTATTACACAATGCAGTGATGTGATTGGTCTTAGCTGCTTTTGATCAGTTAGATCTCTATTTTAGCAGCAAATCAGATAATCGCCAGGCACAACATCTTGCAAGTACTTTGTCTGCAGCAGCACAGCTAATGCCCCCTTGACAAATTCTATGCATGCACAGGTGCATATCTGAGATACAGCAAGATATCCCAGAGGATGAAATTCTTACTGCTTCTCATCTTCCTGTGAAGAACCTCAACTTTCTGCAATCCTTTAACCTCTTGCCTTCTGATATAAAATATACTTTCCCAACACAATTAACATTGGTAAGCTATTCAATGATGTTTACTCCGACGCTGTAGTACGTATGTGCAAAAATAGCAGTGAGATTCAATTCAGTACTTAGCATGCTGCTCAATTTTTTTAGGCATCTAAAATTTTTACCTGTCAGAAATACTTAACCTTCCATATTTTCACTCTCAGTGCAGGGTTGACATTGCACTTTCGTTAGGGAGCATACTGTCTGTACGTAGTTGTTATTCACTGGTTGAAAGACAGAATTCTTGGGTGCACGGGACCATGCAAATAATTGAATACTGCTCAATGTAAATGTTTCTTCAATTATGACTGAATATGCTGAACAAAGATTAGGGTTATAATAATGATTAATTTGAACAATTTTTCTGTAACGTGTTGCTCGTCTATGTACTAGAGTGCTTTTCCGCTCCTCTCGCAGGGAACACAGTTGCTGCCCCTGTCATTGAATACCACGTGCATCAGGATCTCACAAATGCCTTTTCAGTGAGTGAAATTTTCGCCCATCTTTTGAAAGGAGCATAAAGTATGTACTTCATGATCACTGCTCTTTCATATATGCTTCCATCCAATGTGCAGTTTCCTGCCTCATAAAATGGCTAAAATCATGTATAGCTTGCATGCATTGAAGAAAACTGCAATTTAGGCATGAATTCTGAGTCTAATTGCAGTGAATATCTTCTCGCAGTAATACAGTACACATGCACCAGTGGTGTTAGGCTTACACAGAGTACACACAGCAGACCAAGGTACGCGAAGGAATGTGCTTTTTCACGTGTTGGAGGCTGTTGGAGCACTTATGCGAACTCTCCAGCTAATGCTCCCACTACTGAAATAAACAGTAATGCAGTAGACAGAAGAGCACAAGCTTTCAAAGCTGAGTGCTAGACCAAGAACACTATCTATTCAGCTGCCTGTGGCAGAAATGACTATGTTATGCTGCATCTGTCCCGTGGTGACAAATATGTCCTCCATTTAGTGTAGGCAATGTTGTTAAGAAAATCAACTGTAGGCCACTTGCCTGTCAGTTTTCATGTGACCACTTATGATGACACTATAAGCACATATTTCTAGCATTTACCAATTTTTCATTTCATCCAACTTAAGACTGCAACAGTGACACCACGGCACAAGCGTGACACAAACTGTGATAAAATAAGTTGTGAAATTGTGAAAATTTGTGCCCACGTGTAGAAAGATTTACACACTTTGTGTAAAAATATTTACACAAAAAGATTACTTTTTTTAAAATCACATAAATACAGAAATGACCAAACATTCCATGCAAACATATATCATTTGATTAACCAGTTACTCAAAGCAATGACAGTGCTGTATTTTGCTCACTAATGTCGAATAACATAAATAAATTTCTCTTCTAATAGTCAGACCATCACATTACAGCAGTTGTATTCTTTCTTTTTATTATTATAAATAGTTCTTTCCATCAGAAAAGCAACTGTCAAATTCAATTAGTTCTGTGCTTCCGTGCCTGACAGAAGATGATGCAAAATTAAATTATGAAAGCACAAAATACATTCCAAGGAGTGACTCCGTACAAAACATTGAAGGAGTTTGCGAAAGTAGAAATTGTTGCTTTGATGCAACAATCGTTCCTACAACACATCAAGCTTTATGGATCTATAAAAAACATAATGAGCTCGAGACAAGGTCAAATGTGAGGATACTACATGAAAGCACAACAATAAGAAATCAAAGTATGCTAGTACAAGGCAGCGGTATAAGACTATGCAAGAAGAATGGACTGAAACAATAAAAGATAGACTAGGTTTTCAAAAGAAACATCATCTAGTCAACAAGAATACACAAACTCTGCCACCCACCTTTAACATGCCCACACAACACTTAAACATCTGCTACTGTAGTCTGTAAAGGGACAGTCTTCATAAACATTTAATATGACCAAAACGTTGTAGTAAGACCAAAAGCAAGAACATCATAACTAAATAAAAATGTAGTTTATATGACAGTATCGGTTATTGCAAATGCTTCCTTACATGCCACTGCATCTAGGTAATGCTTAAGCGAATAGAATGGAAAGGTGGGCTAGTTGGTAATTCATGATGGTTCAACGAACTGGGAGCGCGGGGGTAAACACAGACACAAAGCAGAGAGGAGGCACACAGCATGAGCGCTCATGCTGTGCGCATCCTCTTTGCTTTGTGTCTGTGTTTACCCCCGCGCTCCCAGTTCGTTGAATGCTTAAGCCATTACAGAAGTCTAAAAAAGCTTAAGTAAGTGTTTGGCCTTGGTATCTAGAACAACTACTTCTTTAGCTTGATGTTTCTGCGATCTAAGTAGTTAATTTGTGCTCAGCATACAGTGATGCAACAGTGTTGTGCACATAAACAACCACATCTAGAGCTTAAAATAGAGCTAAAAACAAGAAAATTAAACTTTTGTAGACATAACCAGGGCAGATGAAATTACACACATCGTCCAAAATGTGAACCATGTTCGTGGCCTATACAGCTTGATCTGCTAGTGGTTCAGGCAGAGGCTCCGGAACTAGGGGGTCAGTGGGGGCCGTCACCCCTACAGGTCAGAAACTAGGGGGGGCATGCCCCCCCCACTAACAGCTGCCACGACCCTCCTTAGCAAATATATAATATCCCTGCCCACAAACATTGCCCCCACACTTCAGAAATACTTCTGGAGCCCCTGGGTTTAGGGTTAATGCCCAGACCAGAATAAACTGCAAACATTTACTTTCCTCTTTCGAGAAACCTGTCCTATCCCAGCTGCCACAGCTATTTTCAGGTACACAAAAATGAATACCTTTAAGCTGAGCAATTTTTATCTGAGAACAGAGAGCAACTGTAACATTCAGCAAAGATTTACCCACATTCTCAACTTGTGTAAGAATAAAAATAGTAGCCCCTGAAACTTACTTATGCAGTTTCATGTGATTTGGCACACTCAATGATGCAAACAAACTTGGAGTAGCATAGATGGGTTTGATACAGCCCAATTATGCTTAAGTATGGGTGAATGTGAATAGTAATATTTAGAAATGAAATGAATATGAACCAAATAGAGGTGACAATCAAGTTGAATACAAACAGAAATTGAATACTATTTGCATAGTTCACAAATAGTAAGGCCAGAATTTTCAAAGCATACCTAGACTGGAAAGGTGATAAGTGTCAAAACAACCTGAAAATTTCCCAACATTTGGTACGAAACAAATATTCACAAGCTTCAACATAGGAATATAATTATTACGTTCAACCAACAAAAATACAATTATTTATACAGAGCAGCAGCAAGAGCCTTCGAAATATTTTGTAACTGCAGGCTGAAATATAACAGTGTTTACAGTAATCAAGGTGGTACTTTGTCTACTGCTTTTATATAAAAATGATAATTAAAAATATCAAGCAATTTTTATGAGTTCAATAAGTGACGATAGTTGACTGCTGACACTGTTGCTTTGGTGACATAGGAGTTTTACGCAAGACATTTTCATTATGTGATCGATTTGGTGTCGATAGTGCTGCATGCATCTGGGTAAATTTATGATAAAACCAAGAAAAGTTACCACTCACTGGTCCAACATTCCACTACTTCAAGAATTTACCATCATTGCTGATTAGTAAAGAAATATACGAAAAATATTTTAAATCTATAATATGTGCCATTCGTTTCGAGTACCAAATCAAGCAGAATGCTATTCAACTCTTTATTCGAAATTTTCAAACATTGCACACCGCTACTAAACTAGTGCCATAACTCTCAAAGAGGTCCTAAGCAGAGAACAAGCTAAAAACAAGTGCTCTTAAGTGGGCTAGTAGGTCCCTGAACATTGTGGCAGAACAGTTTAATGTTAAAAAAAAAAAACAATCACAGTAGCAAAACACGCAAAAGAGCACAAAAAAACAGAATGAAGAGCAGCCAGTATGCAGCCGTGTCCTGTGTGCAGCACCATGTCCTGTGTGCTCGTTCCGGTTTTCAGTGCTGTTCAGCCACAAGTTTTCTTTTTTTAGTGTGCTGATTCAAAATTAAGCAACCCACAACAAGGGTGCTCGGAAAAGTCACAACCAAGTGGCCAGGCCAGGGAATTCTAGTAGGCTTTTTGCCTAAATAAGAAGGGTGCCCACTGCAACAACAGGTGTGTATAACTTATTTTTTTTTATACCACTTGTTGACTTCAATACTAAATGGTGCACAGAAACAAGACAGCAGCTGATGTGGCCATGCCGTAGTTAGAGGTGAAAGCCATAGCAGCTGCAGTATCCAGTGCAGCCATACCGGCCACTGTTACATCTCGCTCACTTGCTTGGGTGCTCAATTAACTTCTCCAAAGCTTTCTCTGCTTTTATTGTATGCTACACTTTAAGTTTCTGTTGTTTTCTTTCAGTAATATCAAGTTGCTGATGATTACGAGTGACCCCAAGAGTACATAAATGCCAAGAGGGCCTATCTTAAATAAGTTCTTAAAAATAGTACTGGCACAAAAGTTATACATCTTTATTTTTCTGTTGCAGTATGCAGCTAACAATCTGCTGATCACAGCTGGAAGCTGCGTCTGCTCGAGCACGTAACGTAAACTACCATTAGGAGACGCTTTTACAAGTGCCCAGTCGGGAATTTCTGAGAGAGGGTGAGCCAGTGAGGGTTAGTTAGTAAACACCATTGGCCACAAGAGCATGCAAAACAATACACTCGTCACATGCACCGAGCGTGTCATTGTGTAGACATGGGTGCAGTGTTGACAACTGCAGGAAAGTGCATGAAAGAAGCATGGCTGCCAACACAAGACAATGATGTAGGTGGTTGTCAGTTGCTTACACTTTAACCGAGTTGGTGTCTATGTGGCAAGGTGCTCCATTTCGTGTGCAGGTAGGTTAACGGCACACACTTCAGTATTGATTTTAAATGTTCCAAGTTATATTAGCCGTTGATGTTTATTGGATAATGTGTGCATGCCCACACGAATCTATCTCACAAGTTATCTTGCCGTCAAAGTTTTGTTCAATTACTCCTTCAAGCTCACTATTTCCCACTGGCCCCCAAAATATAACAAGTATTCTGTGCATGGGTGCCTTCATTTTGCAGTTGCATTCCACTTTGACTAACACTAATTATCACTTCAAACTTGCACGACATGATTAAGTTAGGAAAGATTCCGTTCCATTACTCTGCTTTAAGGTAGTGCTCATCACTGAGGCGAGCAGAAAATAGAGTTCCTCTGATTTCCTTAAAAGGGCTCTGAAACACTTTTTTGAGTAACCATGAAATTAATTCACTGGAAAAGTGTAGTGCCTCAAAAAATCAATGCCGCAAAAACGTTAGGAATCTGTCCAGTACGAACGGAGTTACAAAGATTTGTCACATGCTGCAATCGCATTCTCTCTCCTCTCGTCCCGACGAAAGCGCTGGAAGCTAAGCAGGGAGAGATGAGAGGGGCAAACAAAAAACGTCACGTGCGCCTCCTGACCTTGAGCACTTTTTCCTTTTTTTTTCTTCGAATGCGCAGGTTTTTCAGTGTGATCGCATACGCACGCGTGGATAAATAGCGGCCTCTCGCGGTGATCTCTGTAACGACCGCGCGCGCCATGCTCAGCCAATGGCTGATAGATGGGCTTACTACGAGTAATTTTTGGGCTTATTCCATGATTTGTCGAGAGAAGAGAAAGCAGTTTTTAGATGACTTTAATAATTTATTGTGAATTCCAGGCTGCGTGCTGCGCTATAATATTTGGCTCGGGTGTTGTCGGCAGCCTCCACTACCGATAGGCAGCGTTTTCTGACCATGCTCAAAAAGTGTTACTGGGCCCCTTTAACATTTTCAGACCTTCTACAACAAAAACGGTTTTTATGCCATGGGTTTTGATCCCATGAGTGATTACTGGCCAGCTTCTTGCCCCTAAGAGAAAGTGCTACAGAAAACTGCAAAATTGGTTGCTCTACTGTCATAACAAATAATAAAAATTAAAGGTTCTTTTTAAAGTGGAAATAGGTTAAAATGACTTTATAAAAAGAACACATTGTCTAAAGTGCCTTGAAAAATGTCACCTGGCTGCTTGCCATTACATTTCGCATGAGGATGTCACCAAAGCCACATGCTCCAAATAAGCGTCATTCCTAAGCTCTCATGATGGAAGAATAATTCTAAAAAGCATATCTTCGCCACGTAGACAAGCTATTATTTTTACTATTTAAATGAGTTTTTCATAAATGGCATTTTCAGCAACTTTATGGGTTTAGACATCGTGTTTTTGGTACAGTCGAATCCTGCTATAACGAAGTCTGCTACAATGAAATTTCCACCACAATGAATAATTTTTGATTCCCTGTCACCCGCCAATAGAGAACAATGTGAAAAATATCTCGTCACAACGAATACTTTTCCTCTATATTTACCCTTCAACAAAGTTTTTGCTAATACTACCCCGTAGGGAGAAGGAACTTGCCTAGTTCCACTATAAACTCGGCCATTTCTCAACTGCTTGTGACGTTCGGAGCGCACGGTCGCATTGAAACAACCGTGTCTCCATTGAAGATGCGTTTTCTGTCACCACACGATCATCCCACCAAATTTATCATTATTGAAAAATGCGAAGTGACAGATCGCTCATCTACCATGATGCTGCCAGTGGGTTTGATCCACGTTCGGGCCGTGGCATTATCTCGATCTTCCGAAAAAATTCCGCCATATGTTTTTGACTTCACACTCAAAACGAAACTACCGCTCGTCATCACATGCCCTGCAATCATGAATTGCATCCACGGCTTCGTGAAAGTGCACACGCGGGCAGCACGCACTTAGTAGCTCACACATCTTGAAAGAACAACAGAAGAGCTGATCTGCATAAATGTCATAGAGACACCATCAACAAGCACTAAACCTACATTGCAATCCAACCTGTCCTATCACAATCAAGCAAAGCCAAGACTTTGTGAAACTTTAGGCATTTGTACATTCTGCTTACTAGTCCTAACCCAAGCTACACCAGTATTAATTAGCAAATGCTTAAGCAGTCCTGCTCTCTAGCAGCAGCTGTCTACTGCAAAGAGTGAGATAACCAAAGAAAACAGGTCGCACTCTTCAGTCTACACTTCCTCAAGATGCCGGAACCACATTCCTCTCTTGCATGGCCCTTGAAAGTTAATACTACCATACACTCAACAAGCAACTAATCTTCACTGTATCAACTGTGCCCCGAGACCGCATGCACAGTGATTAAACAGCTGTCCAGTTTCCTACACAGAACTAAAAAGTGGGAATGAAAACACAAATATTTTCTCGTGCATGTTCATCACTGACATCGGCAGAGCACCAAAAGAGGAGAATAGATTGAGGAATGAGACAGCACAGTAATGTATTCTCTATTTCTGTTCCTCATCATCTGTGCAATGCTTCCACCAATAGCAAATCATCACAAAATAGGTTATATCACAATCGTGCTAAGCAGGTGACCATTCTGGCTAAAAAAAAAGGCAATACCTCATCCACACTTGTGCCCTCTTTCTTAACAAATGCTCGCATTGCACTCCTTCTCACTTGACCAAGTCCATCTTAAAAGTTCTTTCCATACGAACAATAAAACTAAAAAATTATAAGGAGCCTTGCAAGCAAGCTGCTGTGAGCATCTGAAAGCTGCAACTTCAATTGTCAAGACAAAACTCCCTGGCCTCGTTGAGCCTTGCTTCAAGCTGAGAGGCTCTCTCAAGGCAGTGCTTCCTCAGCGTGCCGCTGGGCATGGGAGCAACCTCCAGAGGAACCTGGCACAGAAACGAAAATTCCGGGGTGTGACAGAAGCATAACATGTAACTTGCAACGCACACAAAATAGTGCAAGAAGATAGAGCAAAAACTTGATGGTAATCAAAGTCAAGTAATGTTCACTTGGGGTCTAGCTGGTGCGACACTCAAACTGAAGTAACACTGCACAGATGGCCAAACACAAGAAGAAGTTGACAAGACTGCGCCCTTTCTGTCAACTTCAACTTGTGTTTCGCCACCGGGGTGGTTTTATTTCGGTATAATAAAACACTGAACCTGCTCTCCCAAATGGTGCAAAGAAAAAAAATAATGTAATACAAATTGTAATATCCAAGCCAAATAAAACCCCAACAGCAGCAAGCATTTGCAAAGGTATACACGGTGCACCATCTAGTTATCACCATGGACAAGCGTGCATATTCACAGTGCTGCCAAACCAGATGAGCATACCTGTCAATGGAGATGACTGGAGGGAACGCACTTTACCATTGTCGGTGCTTGCCACCGTTCAGATTTCATTTGGTGCCGATAGTATACGCGGCTGAATGATAGTATATGCGGTACAAATATTGCTTGCAACAGCAATTCGCACTTAATATTAGCAGCGATTACAAAAACCTAGCAGCAACAGCACACTTAAAAAAACTCGCACGGCAATGTACAAAGCACGCATGATGCATACTGAGCACAGAAAATGATGCGTCTAATACAGCAACAAAGTGTTTCCACAACCAGGGAATTCAAAACCACAGTGCAGCACACTGTGCGAGTGCTGATACATGCTCTGAACACTGTAAAAGGTGTGCATGCACTTCGCCCTGTATTTCTCATAAAGAAAGTCCTAACTAGCAGATCGTGGCCCTAAAACCTTAAAGCTTTCGCCCATCACTGTCACAGAAAATTGCCAGAAACAAATGGATGTTTTAATAGGGTCATTACAACATCACAGTTTGTGCATATAAAATTAAAATTTACTATGCAGTCAATGCTCTGCAAATCTTAGCAAGGGTTGACTTCTGGCTTTGTTTGTATGACATATCCTTGGAGAGCACAGTGGCTTATGAAGACAGGGACTGGACAACACACTGGGTGTTCCTCATTTTTATGGTTCCAGTCTTGGCAAGCCTCTGCACTAAATGCTAAGGATAGCTCTCCAACTTCTTTTTGAATGCAAAAATGTTCAACTTCTCACGGAAGTGAATTTTTCTGCTGAGCAGCACATTTCTAATCAAACTAAACCATTGTCAGGAAATTCTTGATAAAGTGCTGTAGGAATTGTGCGTAAGGTGTGACAGGTCTCGCCTTAGAGCTGTTTATTCTATGAGTATGCGTAGTGATTTTTTAAAACAAACTATTAACAATAACATTAAGACTCTGCTGTACATTACATGAACATAATAATTATTGGGGTTTAATGTCACAATATCATTACATGATTTTGAGAGATGCCGTAGAAAAGGGCTTTGGAAATTTCGACCACCTGGGCTTCTTCAACATGTACCTAAGCTCAGCACATGGGTCTTAAGTATTTTTCATTCATCGAAAATGTGGCTGCTGCGGCTGAGATTCAATCTTATAATCTGCAGCTCACCAGCCGAGTGCCTCAGTCACTAGTCATTACATAGTCTTACATTAGACTACACTTGACATTACATAATCATAAATAACTAGAAAGTCACAAACTAGCTGTACTGAAATTTGGCAATGAAACTGACCAACAGCGGTGTCAAGACATTTTTACCAGACGACACCAAAAGAAACATTCTGCACCGATACATAAAGTGTGCCAGCATCACCGACCTGGAACATTTCTTGCCAAGAAAGGGAGACAATGCTGAGGAACTCATTCTTTTCTTCTTCCGTGGCAAACCATAAGATCCAATTGTAAGCACAGCTCTCAGCCTCGCCCCCATCAAACTCCTGCGAGTGCATTGGAACAGAGTGTCAACAAATGTCAACAGAAGAAAATACTGAATCGATTAGTGACAACAAAAAAAAAAAAGAGGAGGCCTACCATAATGCAGAAGTTGTTCTCACTGTGCACCACACTGAGGTCAATGATGACTCCAACGCCCAAGACTTTTGACCCCTCAACCAAGGTCAACACGAGGTCACCCACCAATACTAGGCAGCAGGCCATCATGCCACCCATTGATCCAGACTGCACAAGTTATTGCAAAACACAAGCAGATGACAAAAACGCACTGCTCCAACAAGCTCAGCTATCTTCCAAGAAAGGTTGACTGCCAAGAAACGCGAATCCTGACTCCTGTTAAGAGGTCTCATAAAATAAGAAGTGATATTACCCTGGAATAGGCTGAATATGCGGGCTCTTCAAATATTCAAACCAATATCACAGTATTTGAATTCGCTTCAAAACGAATTTAAGGTTATTCTAAATTAACGAATAAATGTATGCTTGAGTGCATATAATAAACCTGTAATGATATTTTCACTTTAGCTGATGATGCTATGCCATGAAACGAGCCATCCAGAAGAAATCTGCACGGCCGCGAAGCCCCGCTTCAAGGTAAATGTGCAGCCCTGGCCACGTCTGTGTATAGCGCGCGAGCAGCCACTTTTGGCTCTGTTGGGTGACACCTTGAGGCAGTTTCGGGCTTCCTAGCCTGACTACTAGGCCGCGCATGCTCCTGACACACCTCGTCAGAGCCCAAAGCTGCCTCAAAGTGTTACCCTGCAGAGCCAAAACCGACTGCTCGCACACTATACACAGACATGGCCGTGGCTGTACATATTGACTACAACTCAAACAATTATTTTTTATGAACAAAAGCGTGTTATACATGCTTATATACACTAAGCATTGTAAATTTAAAAATCGAGTGTGTTGTACCATTTATAAATTGCGCCCTACTGCTATTTGATAGAGGTAGACAAATATTCGAACGAATATCACAGTATTTGAATTCACTTTGACACAAATTTATATCGTTATAAAATTCTAAGTACCCGAAAGAAATGAATACATGTATATTTCAGCACATACGACTCCACTGCAAAAATTGTTTCACTACAGCTTGGCGTGCTATGCCGTGAAAAAATTCATTCAGAGAAAATTTCGCACTGCCGTGAAGTCACACTTCAATGTGCAACGCACATATCACTTTCACCTCAATCAATTATTTTTAACATTTGAAAGCATGTCATACATACTTATAGTGCCAGGCATAGCAACTTTTAAAACGTAATGTATTGCAACAGTTATAACTTGCACCCTCTTGCTACACGCTACTATTCAGTGTTGCTTCCACTGCACTTCAATACAAAAAAAGTTACATTCACATATGCCTAGTTCCAATTCATAAAAATATTGTGCAAGTTAGTTGGGTCATGCCGAAAATATTTCTTTTTTTTATTCACACCACACCACTGATCCAACAATGAGAGAATGTACAAAGCGTTCTTCCAGACTAAAAGAGTCGCTGCTTCCTGATGAACAGTTTAAACAAGGAGCACTGTGAGCTACAATCTTCAATCAGTGATATGCAAATTCTCTGGACACTCTGTTACGAGTGCAGTAGTTCTCTCAACAAAATCAATGACTAAGGAAACGGTGCGGCTTTTTCAAACGGCACCAAAAGCAATGAGAACAACACAGACAAGCATTGTGTTCAATGCTTGTTCAAGCTTGTTAGTGTCCCTTTCAACTAGCTGATTATATTTGCTGCCATCTTGGTTTTTTTTCTGTGAATCTCTTTTACTGCTCACTATGATCAGTCTCTGAGGGTACCCTGCTGCTTTGAGGAGATGAAGCTGTAGACACTCACACCTCATTATAACGACTTCAGTCTAACACAAAAGTGAGTTGCTTAATCCAGAAATTCATTATTTAAGTAAATTCCTAGCACTGTATCTATTGCAAGACGATTCTTCATTTACTTCATTATAACCAATATTTCCTTGTATAGAGGTTTGAGTGTATTAAAGCTTTCTGATGACATGACAGCGTGTTTTATTTAATGCATTGGCGATGCATGCTTAAATGATATTCCTTTTATTGACCTGGTATGTGACAATGTGGATGGCAACAAAAGTTTCTGTGCTTCCCTTTCGATTTTGTTTTGCCTGAGAAGGCTTGCTGTTTGCTAACACTACACATAATTAACTAGCTCGTGGTTTGATATTACTAACAAAATGAAAACACAATGGTGAGTACATGGCCCCAGAAAACTGCCTACCCATAATCAAAAACAAGCTTTTTAGCTGTCACAAGCAAGAACCACCATTCATCTAAGAAAACGCACCCCACAGAAGGAGGCTTGCCCAGATTCAGTGAGTGCATGGACCCAACGCTCTATTTCTGCCTCATTGGAAGCAGCGAGCTGAAGGCAGGCACCACCAGAAGGAGCCAGGTTCAGCTGCAAGGCATGCGGCCGGCCGACATTGGAAACAGCCTGGCAAGAACCACAGTGGACGCCGCTGCAAAATGAGAGAACAAAGAAAGCCATCTACAGCCGTACTACAAACAAAAGTCCACTGAAAGCACTGAGAACATTAAGAAGTGCAACTCTCACCTGACAAGGTAAGTGGCACTAGGTATGGTGTCCCCTTGATTTGAGAACCTGTACAGGACCCCAGCTCTATAAGGAGAATAGAGAAAACCGAAATTGTAGTGAAGGTTAAGGTTACGGTACTGAGCTAACTAGAAAGATCTAATAAGGTTTACCTAAAAATGCACATATGAATGTTTTATCAAGGAGGTAGGCTTACAGGCCCCGACTAAAGTCCATAAAACAGCACACCACAATTTTTAACAACATAGAGTGAAGAACATCAATTGCTAAGGTTACAGGTTTCAGCCAAACAGAAAAAAACATCACTGATGCCTCATCCCAGCAAAGGGCACAACGTGTACTAGAAGGCCCCATGATACTGCCACATTGATGTATAACTAATGGTGCAACCACTGCATTAAATAAAGATTCAACATAGTAAGGCACAATCGTGTCCTGCAGGAGCAAATAACACTAAACGCACGAGGCTACCAGCAAGAAGGGTCATCTTTTGTAAAAAAAATTATTTACCGGTCTAATGCAAACACAGCTCACACAGTACATGAATGATAAACCGAATTTTGATAACTCAAACAAATTTTGCATTTTCCTTTGACCAATTATGCTTTTCAATGTACAGTCAAACCTGTTTATAATGAACTTTATATTGTTACAAAAGGTAGTCCCCCGTATCAGTAGTTCATTACATACAAACTCATTTTTTGTAGCATGTGCAAGTAATTTCTTTTCTTGTTTTTCATGCAGTTTTGCTACAATGCACTAACCCACTTTCCCATGACAATTTAACATTTAAGTCTTTCTTTATTTGTGAATTGACACTCGCTCTGTTCTTGCTGGGTAAATAAACTGCCTTCACAATGAACCAACACCATTTCGGAAAAACATAGTACTGCCACATAGAATGAATTAACCTCTGGATGGTTACACGCAGAGTGTTGCCTTCTCTGCTCAAGCCATCACTGTCAGTCCAATGGCTGTACAGTAGGGTTGTCTTTGCTTGAAGTATGTTCTCAAACCAGTCCTCGTAACCACCTTTGGAGAAATTTATGAGCAGTCTTAGAGCAAACTGCCATTCAGTAGTGTGACTCTTGTTGAATGACACTTGCATGGGCAAATCAAGAGTGCTCAAGAACACAGACTTTGACTCCAAAGTACAATATGAAAGATATACTGAGTCTTACTGTGTAAACGTTTCAGTGCCTCTTATTGCTGTCATCGATTTCAGATACCAAAAGAGCCCAGGGTCATCTAGAATGTTGGTTGTGCTCTGGCATTTTACAAGTGGCCATTCCATGCTAGAATGAAAAAAATGAGCCACCCACCGCAACAGGAAGTAGCCAGCTTTCCAGTGCTTCTTTCTCTCTCGCCTGGTGTTCCCTTCAAGGAATCTCCACATGAGGGGACCGCCCACACTGGGCCCACATGCAAAATCACCTGGTGAGGACTGGATGCACTTCTCCCAATGCACCAAGTGGTAGTCCTTTACAATGAGCCCACCATCCTGGAGCGATTGCAGTAATTAATCACTTTGTGCTTATTATTACGCTGAGCATGTGGTTCCACTAGTAAAAACTGACTGCCAACATCACAAAGCAACAGTACCACAGAGAGGGTAACCTTAGGCAATAATTTTGGGGCCCCTTAATGTCCATGTGAACCAAAGCACACTCACGATTTTGCATTATACCCTCCAGAAAACCTTGACTGAAAACATAAGCGGAATGCAATTAGCAGCCTAGTGTGTCTGAAGATGTTAGTGTGCAATGCAGTCAAGCACCTTCAAAACACAATGAGCTGTGCAATAATGCTTGCCTTATGTCCCATCTTTACTGTGCAACCTTTAGAAAAAAAATTGCCTGTATGACGAAATAAACGAAAGAATAGGCATGTATTTGGGATTTCACTTAAATATCCCATCAAGTACAATCTGGAGACAACCTTAGTGTAACCCAGCAGATAATGAAGCCAAGGAAGCAAGGTATAGGGGATGAGAATCATGCAGATATAGTAATTATAGTAATTGTAGTATAATTGTAATATAGATGGAAAAAAAGTGTAGAGGGAGACAAAAAAGCAACTTGCTCCGGCCAGGGAATGCGCCTGCAATCTTCACACTATGCGCCCAACACTCCACCAAATTGCGCTACAGCGGAGGTCAGCTTCTCCTCTTCACTGGGTATTTATGTGCGTCATGCAAACATCAGAGCTGGTGCAGTGTGTGCAATGCACCACCAGTCATGAAGCAGCCATTCTCTCATTTACAGTATTGGGTATTTCTGTTTGTGCAACACTGGGAGTGTTGGCCAGAACTGCTTGTATCCATGGAGGCAGATACAGTAGACTCTCAGTAAACGGAACCTGAAGGGACTGGGAAAATATGTTCCGTTTAACAAGTGTTCCGTTTACTGAGAGCTGAACATAGGAGCAGAATGCAAGCCTGAAACCAAGCATTGCAGAGGCAATAGTTTCGTTTAACAGATTTCCGTTTACTGAGAGTCTACTGTACATTTCTTTTGCTAGATAGCATCACACAGGAGGCAATCATTACAAGTTGGCAGCTTACCATTAAATCTTCGCATGTCATTTCCCCTCCACCCAGTGCAAGAAAATAATGTGCTGGTGCCTAAAAATTTTTCATGCACTTGCAACAGTGCCAGTATTTATAGACTATAGCTCCAGTACTACTTAATATACACATACATATACATTGTTTGATGTTATTATGGGAGAAAAGGTCCTGCCTCTCACCTCTTGGGCTTTCAACTCATGGGCCAAGAGCTTCTTCAAAGCATCTAGCTGTTCAGAGCAGTGGCTCACTATAGATGGAAGGCACTTGAAACCATTGTGAGTTCTCCGAACGGCTAGATCCAAGCTTGAGAGAATGTTCCTGCAAAAAATAGAAAAAGAAACTATGGGAAAGGTACAAGAGAGGCTCAAGGCAGAGGATAATCATGCTGAAATCTAGCATTAAATGCGACACAAAGATTCTGCTAACAACTGTGCAATTGATATGGCATTACGTTTCAACTTTGAAGCCGAGTTAGATGAACATTTAGATTAACTTACCACAGCAGCTCAAATCACAGGCTAGTAATGAAGGATGAAAAAAAAATTACTAACCAAAATTGCACCGTCTCGGTAAATTTTTCAATACAACCATACTGTTACACAAGGTAAGGCAACTTAATAGGGGGTTTTTAATGGGCCCTGAGTCCGCGATCACCGTATAATGATGATGATCTTCACCGCCATGGCTCGTACCCACTCAGGGGAATCGCAGTGGAGGCAACGTCGTCTTCCTTCTCTATCCACGCTTCCCTTGTTTTTCCTGGTAGTGATACCCCGTATCATTCCTCCCGTCTCAGACAAAGCCCTCTGGGCGAGTCATGCTTGCATCCTTCGAGTAAACGGCTTCAGGCGGGCAACATGCGTCACCTCTGTCTTGCATGAGCGTCGGCCACTAGTGGTGACACGTGCAATTTCATAGTTTACCTCGCTGAGACGACGGAGTATCACAAAAGGACCGGCATAGTGTGCCAGTAGCTTTTGGCTCAAGCCACGTCTGCGTATTGGGGTCCACACCCACACTAGATCACCGGGGGCATAGGTTACATTCCTGTGTTGACTGTCGTAGCGAGTTTTGGAAGACTCTTGCGCTGCCAGTGTACGTAAGCAGGCAAGTCGACGTGTCTCTTCCGCACAACACAAAGTTTCCGCAATTGTTAAATCGTCATGGACGACAAAAGGAAAGATAGTGTCCAGAGTATGTCGAGGTGAGCGAGCGTAGAGCAGATAGAAAGGGCTGTAGCCTGTCGCTTCGTGTTTCGACATGTTGAAGGCGTATGTGACGAATGGTAATACTTCATCCCAGTTTTTGTGGTCGGAGGCGACGTACATTGACATGTTGATCAACGTTCGGTTTGTGCGCTCAGTGAGGCCGTTACCGTATTTACTCACATAATCGGCGCACTCGCATAATAGGCGCACCCCTAGTTTGGTCGCGGAAAATTCAATTTTTTTTTAATTCCGCGCATAATAGGCGCACCCCAAACTTCGCCGTGATCAGAAACGATTCTACCCCCCAGCGGTACAGTTGGAATGCGGTCCCCGTACCCTGAAGAAAAAAAGAAGGCAAATCAACGAGCAAATAAAAAAAAAGTCGAAGTGCAACGACCTAACCAACGTGTTTGTCGAAATAAAACTTGAAAAAAAAAAAACGTCCATGAGCGAAAAAAAAACGGCTGTTCCATCAATTACTGATACCCCCAAATCGCCGCGCTTTTTGGAGGTCACGTGTACAACGCCGGGGGCTCGATCGCCATCACCACCATCAGAGAAAAAGAAAGAAACGCCATTTTGCAAGCGAGTGAGGATGACATGTTGTGGGGTGCGGATGATTCGGACACCGAAAACGAATCCCCGCTCGGCGAGGATGAATGTGTGATCTCCGACTCGGACTCCGAATAGGGAAAAGGAGGAACAGCTACGACTTTTGTTTAAATAAATTTTACGTGTGTGTGTGCAGTTGACGGCTCTCGCTTGTTCATTAAAAGGTACGTAGGAATGTTTGTTTTATGCTGAATTAATTGGTAAACGATAAAGTCGCCTTTTACTTGACAAGTGTGCAGATTTAAAGCGCGAGAACGGAGTTGAAAAATTTTTCGAAAATTTTACCTCGCGTAATTGGCGCACCCCTAACTTCGAGCCGGATTTTCTGAAAAAAAAAGTGCGCCTATTATGCGAGTAAATACGGTAGTTTGCGGATGATACGCAGTTGAGTGTCGGAACTTGGAGGCACACAAACGAAGTAATGATTCGACGATATCAGCGGTAAATTGTCGTCCACGGTAACTTATTATCATGAAAGGAGGTCCGTGTCGGAGGATGACTGAATGCAACAGGAACTCCGAAACCTGGACTGCCGTGGCAGAGCATAAGGCAGCCGTCACGCAGTACCGCGTCAGGTAGTCGGCGCATACAATTATCCACCTTTTGAGGAGCGAGGAAATGGTCCTATCAGATCAATGCCGACCTTTTCAAAAGGGGAACCGGGAGGCTTTACAGGTTGCAGATGACCAACTGGACCCGAGGAGGGCCGCTTGTGGCTCTGGCACTGTGTACAGCTGGCCACGTAGTTCTGAATCGTTTCGCTCATTTTCGGCCAATAGAACCGCTCTTTCGTGCGACTAAGTGTTCATGCGGTGCCTAGATGGCCAGAGGTGGGGTCATCATGCGTGAGACGCAGAACAGACGTTTGGATGGACGCAGGAACAACCAGCAGAAAGCGGGCGCCCGCCAAGGACAAGTTTCTGTGGTAAAGAAGACCATTTTGGACGCAGAATCGGCCTTCACTTAATGAATTTCTCGCTCCAGGGAAGAGAGCTTTTAAGCTTGGGTCATTACGCTGCTCAGCGGCGAAAGTCACGGCATCAGGAAAGCCAGACGACAGAGAAGCGATAAGGTGGTCAAAGTTATCGACTTCACAATCTGTCGATGGTAGCGGCATTCTGGAGAGGCAATCCGCATCAGCGTGTAGACGGCCAGTCTTGTATGAGATGGTGAAGACATGTTCTTGCAAACGAATGGCCCATCGTGCGAGGCAGCCGGATGGGTCACGAAGGTTGACCAGCCAACACAGCGAATGGTGATCTGTGACGATAGTGAACGGGCGACCATAGATGTATGAGCGAAACCGTTGCACGGCAAAGACTACCGCTAGGCATTCCTGTTCGGTCACTGTGTAGTTGCGTTCAGGCTTGCTTAAAGAATGGCTTGCGTACGCCACAACGTGTTCCTTCTTGCCAGAACGCTGAACGAGAACGGCACCGATACCGATGCCACTTGCGTCTGTGTGAATTTCCGTGGGCGACGAAAGATTGAAGTGCCGAAGTATTGGCTGCGAAGTTAACAAACACTTCAGCTTGTGAAAAGCAGCATCACACTCGGAGGTCCACTGAAACAGGCTGTTCTTGCATAGAAGGCTCGTCAGGGGGTGAACGACATCCGCAAACTTGGGTACAAACCGGCGGAAATACGAGCAGAGCCCGATGAAGCTACGCAGTTGTTTCACAGATTTAGGACGCTCCAACGATTCAACGGCCGCTGTCTCCTGTGGGTCAGGTCTAATGCCATCTTTGTCGACGAGATGTACTAACACCAATGTCTGTCGCTCGCCAAAGTGGCACTTTTTTTAATTCAATACAAGGTCAGGTTTTTCAATGCAGCTGAGCACGAGGTCTAGGCAAGTGTTGTGCTCCTCAAACGTACGTCCAAAAATTACGACATCATCAAGGTAACACATGCATATATGCCATTTTAAACCACGCAATATAGAGTCCATAAATCTTTCGAATGTCGCAGGAGCATTACATAATCCGAATGGCATAACGTTGAACTCGTAAAGTCCGTCGGTCGTAACAAATGCCGTGCACGCAGCTGACTTCTTTGTCAGCTGCGTGCATCGGAATTCGCCAGTAACCTGATCTCAGATCGACAGATGAAAAGTAGGACGCGGAATGCAGGCAGTCTAGAGCGTCATCGATGCGCGGCAGTGGATAGACATCTTTCTTGGTAACAGAATTCAGTCAGCGGTAGTCAACGCAAAATCTCCACGTACCATCCTTCTTCCTTAGTAGAATGACGGGAGCAGCCCACGGACTTGCCGATTTTTGTATTATTCCCTTTTCCAGCATTTCTTGGACTTGCTCATTGATGATCTTGCACTCCGATGGTGCCACTCGGTAAGGTTTCTGCCTAATGGGATGCGCCGACTCGGTGTGGATCTGATGACGTATCCGAGACGCTGGGATTAAGGGCCCTTGGCTATGTTTAGAAAAATCGAACACTTTCGAGTGCTTAGATAGAACGTCGAGCAGAGTATGACGTTTGCTTTGGTCAAGTGACTTGCTGACCATTTGTAGCAATTGGGCATCTTCTGAACCTTCTAAGCCTAGATGTTCATTTTGGCTTGTAGCATCAACAAGCGCAACCAGCATCGTACATGATTCGGGTCTAAATACTGCAAGTTTTATGCCACCTGGCAGAATTGCAGGCTCCATGGGACTGTTCATTGTCCACACACCTGCCCGTCCATCAACGACTGACACTATACAATGGGGAATGAGAATGTTCTTTTTCAGGCATGCCAAGGGAATCGGTTCGAGCGTGACGTCAAACGTGCCACAGTTGTTGCTGGAACACACACGGCAGAAAATGCAGGAACGACTGTGTCCACGGAGACGAAAAAGATGCATTCCACCAGACAGAAATTTTCCAAGAGCGCCGTTGGGAAAGTACCGTGTATAAAAAGATGCCCACTTCTGCAGTCTACAGTTGCCCCACACTCACACAAGAAATCAATACCCAAGATAACGTCATGTGTAGACCGCGGAATAACCGCAAACTCTGTGCAAAACACCTTGCCACACAGCGAGACGTCCACAGTACAATATCCCACCGGACACAACACATCACCACTTACACCACGAAATGACACCCCACGGTTCACGCAAAACGTCACTTTTGGCCCTAGCAGGTTTTTAAAATTTACACTCATCACCGAGACTGTCGCGCCTGTATCCACAAGTGCCATAGTAGCCACTCCATCGACAACTACATGAACTTTGTTCTTCAACATAAACGCTGACGGGGGTATATCTGTAGATAGCACCTGTGATCTCGCGGCCTCACCCCCACTGGCCGCACCGACTAGTTTTCGGGCGGCGGTGTACGTGCGCGTCGCTATGACGACGGCGATCTTGGAGCACGGGGAGCTGGTGGTGGCGTCAAACTTCGATCAGAGGCCGGCGAGGGGTAGTGTGACCTGGTAGGTGCGCGTGGTTTTCGTGACGTGGAAAGCGGATGGTCGAAAAGTTGGTGAGACATGCGCTAAGACTGTCGCTGATATGGGCGATGGTCACAAAAACGTGCAATGTGACCCGGGACGCCACAGTTGTAGCATACCGGAATTGGTCGAGGGGCACGTGGCTGCTCAGAGTAACGACTCCTCTCGGAAGGCATGGGTAGTGGTGCCACTCTTCGGGGGCACTGTAGACAGGCGATGTTGGGTAAACAGACGGGCAAAAACTTCGTTCGTAGTTGGGAGGTGGTTGACGGGAAAATTCAGCCTGCCGTGTGCCTTGATATGCATAAGCGTCTGCTGCGTTGATCGATGGTTGCCATGGTGGAAGAGAAACAGGAGTCCGCACACGTTCTGGTTCGCTTACGTACACATCCTGAAATTCGCTGGGGCGATGATAGGTCTGCTGACATCGAAGCAGCTCTTCTCTGACAATCTGCCATATGGTCAAAGCAAGGTCGTTAGGCGGCACTGTTTCAACACTAGCCACAGTGAGGACGTTGGACAGGCGGCCAAATTTCGGAGAAATTCGTCGCATCTTGAGGGATTCAAAGGTACGACAGTGCTTCATCACGTCGGACACGGAGTTCAAGCAGTCTTTCCGAATTAAGAAATTGTACACGTCTTCGGCTATACTCTTGTGAACGTGTCCAACCTTGTCTTCTTCAGACATCCTCCCATTCACGATCTTGCACAGCTTTAATATTTCTTCAATGTATGTCGTACATGTTTCTGCTGGAAGCTGTGCCCTCTGAGACAATGTCTGCTCTGCGCGTTTCTTCTTTGCGTCCGAATCACCGAAGCACTTCTGCACTTCTTCAACAAAACGTCCCAAGTCGTGAACATGTCCTCGTGGTTCTTGTACCACATGAGGGCGGTGTCAGTTAACGAGAATACAACATGATTGAGCTGTTCGTTCGAGTCCCAGCCATTGCTTCTGCTCACCCGCTTGTAGTTCTTGAGCCACACGTCGACGTCTTCTCCTGAGGTCCCGCCGAAGTTTGGTGGCACTCTGTAGTATGGCACGGAACCCATCGAAGTTGGTTTCGAAGCGTTAGATGGCTGCTCTTGGGCCATTACGATCGGCGAAGGTGGAAGTCCGGCGTCCTACCCAGCACTTTCCACCAAATTGTTACACAAGGTAAGGTAACTTAATGGGGGGTTTTTAATGGGCCCTGAGTCCACGATCACCGTATAATGATGATGATCTCCACCGCTATGGCTCGTACCCACTCAAGGGAATCGCAGTGGAGGCAACGTCGTCTTCCTTCTCTATCCACGCTTCCCTTGTTTTTCCTGGTAGTGATACCCCGTATCAACACATTTGTGGAGCCTAATGAGAGATCTGGTAATCTCTTTCATATTTTAGTCAAGCAAAAGCTCTGCTTTTTTCCCTTCTGTTGCCTGTTGTTACAGTTATGTTGCAGCTTACAATATGCACTTTTTCGCTAGATAAGGGGGGAGGGCGTGACTAACTACCTGTGAGATGATGCAAAGGCCCTAGAGTGCAGCCACAGAGAAAGGGAACTGCTGTCTGTTCTCCCCATTGTGGTCATGTGTGATGCAGGCACTTTGCCCTCTCTCATCAACATGCCCTCCTCCTCATTCTTGAGCACACACAATTGGCATTCGGACTGTGTCTCTGTGACACTGAAGCGTGTGGTGGCTCTACTATTGCAAAAAATTTAAAACATAGACAAGACGTAACAGTGAACAGTACTTTACACACAATACCTTGTAAGCTCAGCATGGCCAGTGGCCACATCCGTCTTTTTCCCTGAGTTGCAAGTCAGGGAGAAACCCTGGTAGTTCAGCCAAACCTGCAAAAGTAGGCAATGTACAAAACGATGCTTACAACTTCAGTAATTATAGGTTAACAAGGAAGGATACTAAAATACGATTATAAAATCTTAACAATGCTAATACTTAAGAAAAAATATATGGAAATTGTTTTGCTTTTGCAGCATCTGACATCACAACAACTGCCACTATTTCAAATATTGATGTCAAAAAGCTGGAACACAAGTTCCAGAAAACATAAGAGAGACTGCAATAATGCTTGGCACTTTTTTTCGAAGTGTCGACACAATGATTTCCACAGCATCAGATGTGCATGACTGTTTTATCATTCAGAAAAATTCATCAATGGCATGCTTGCTTAAAAAGCTGAGCAAAAAATTTTACTGCTTGATAAAAAAACAAATGTCTGAACAAGCATTCAGGACAATGTGTCTTGTATTGAGCCTGATATGTGGTAACAAAAAGTTGCCGACAGCAAGAAAAGATGCAACAAATGTTAGTGGCGAGTACTCGGGGGCTTCCTTCCAACAGCAAGCTGATGTCAATGAGAGCCCTCAATATGCTCTGTAGGATCACATTGCTTATGATTCTCCAAATTTGCTTCTGAATAAACTAGATGAGAGTCTGCACTGGTAATTTTTCCCTTTTCATCTTCATCGAGTGTTGCAAATTCAGTATGAATCACTAACAAATTGCCCACTTTCCAGTTCTCCTGCCACATGACTTGAGGCAAAAGCCCCGAATTTTGCTAAGAAAACAAAAAGGACAGCACAGGACTATGGCATACTCAAGAACAACAGGTACATGTGGCTGAACTCATTTAACATTAAATAACTCATCTCATCTCAAGGAATTAACCTTCTGAGCATCAAATTTCCACATGCAACAAAGCTTAACTGACAGATCATTGTGGTACTCACTTAGATGTAATGACACATATAAATTGAACACAATATATCTGACACATTTCCAAACATATAATTAATGCTTTCGAATTAAAGCAAAATCACATGTTCAAATTGTTTTACACTGCTGCAGCTGTTGCTAAAAATTCTAGCGTGCAGTAGTTGTCGTGAACACGCCATCTCACCTCAAGGAATCAAGGTTATTAGCAGCAAATTTCTTAGAACAGCAATTAAACTAGTGTGTGAAAAGCTTAATCCTTTTCTTTTATTCTGAAAGCTAATGCAGGCATCGTATGTACATTCAAAAGGCATTTGTAAACAGTGCAGTGTCATGTGATGTCTCCACATTAGTGTTAGTGACACCATTATTTTAATATATCTAACTTCAAACCGTTCAGAAAAGTGAGGCATGTTATGAAACACTGAAACATATAAGTTTTAAAAACAGCAGATTTGAGTACTCACGGTGACCACTTTGATTTCACTGAGGCACACTGAAAAGTCGACAACAAACTGGGCCGCCTCCTCCCCAGGCCGTAGTATGTACAGAAGTTTGTTTGTCATCAGGACATAAATAGGCTCCAGCAGTCCTCTTCCATCAAAACACTTCCATGCCAGAAACATCTGAATGTGTCAGAAAGTAAACAAGAGGAAAAATAGAAATTGTGCTATAAGTTCTTTAAAACTGTCGCTCGAGGTCAGCCATCTCATCAATGCACTCCGTTCGCCTCCTCTCGCAATCTTCCTCGTCCATTTTTGCATGGCATTCGTTTTAAGTGAACAGCATGATTAAAGAAAAGCGGTGATATCAACTTAATGAACTTGCCATTTTCGTGTTAACATATGCCTCAAGTAATGATTTGGTACTGATGATGCAACAGAGAAACAAATTATTATATGTAATATATTGATTAGTATGATCAGTATCGAGCCCAATTGAAAATGGGAGCAAAGCCCTCCAATTTTCAGCACTGCCAAGCGGTCTCCTCTTGGGGTCCCACCTTATTTGATCACGTGGCCAAATAAAATGATGATGCAAGCTTCAGGTCAAATTTCATCTGCTAAGCGCGCATGTGTAGGGATGCCTTCGTCATCACTATCGTCGTCGCCACTGTCATCAGGATACACAAGCAACAATGAAAACAATATGAAATTAGTGCAATTAATGACATGGAAAATCATTTTCGGTTCGATCCTATTCACATCAGTAATTCTGAGATTGACCCCTGACAGAGCAGGGATCTGGAAGCAGCATGAGATGCTGTCTAGGGCTACCCTGGCTGGTAGGACATGTCAATATTACACTTATGAACGCTGCATGTGTGTTACTTGTTAGCAATGAGTGGGAATGCAGCATTCCCACGAATTTAGAGCATGAACCAAGCAAAACAAAACAAATAAAGCCATTGCCAAGCACCCAGGCGTCGCTGCCAAATGGTACCATAAATAAGTAGACACCGCGACGACAACACTAAAATTATCTGCGGTATCATTGCTCGCACATCGCCATTCAGCATCTGAGCCGTGGCTTTAAAGCTCGCCGAACACGTCAAAATACTGTCGATGTCACATGGAGTTAAACATTCTGCTAAACAGTTGGACACCCATTGAGCTCCAAATAAAAAAATTTCCACATAACGGATGCGATTCATACTTCGCTAAAAGTACTCATCCATACCAACGAATCAAATGAATGCTACGTCTTGAGTTTGGTCACTGCACCTTTAGGTTCCATAGCCTAACCTGGAAATGGTCAGCTTTTCAAGATTTCATATGCAATTTTCAGTCACACACACAGAAACACACATAACAGGTCCGTGTACTGACATTTTTACAATAACTCGCCTCCCCATCATAAGTCAAATACTGCCACAGGTGTATCACTATTCAACACTTCTTAAATGGGTAGTAAGCAGGCATCAGCCTTCGCCACTCGGTCCAGCAGAGTTTCATAAATGTGGAAACACCAAAGGAAGATATGTTCTATCATGCACGGCAGAAGTGTATCAGAAATTTGAAAGTATGAGATGTGACTGAATCCGTGCTTTATCGTAATCAAGTGCATGCAAACAGAAACAGCATACACTGGGGGCTGTTTCTTTGTTGTCATTTTTCTGCTTGTCCATTGTAAAATCTGTATTGCCATGTGTCTGTTATACAAGACCAACTATCCCAGATTTATGTTCTACAATTACTTAGGATTACGGTTACATTGAACCACCTGAAATTCAGTGTAATACGGTCGTCAAGATCATGATATAAAGATCTAGTATGAGGTATGCTGGTGGCACGTACATTGGTCATTTCATACTGCATCTCATATCTACTGTGAAACATGAGCCGTCTTTAGGCATGTGTGAATATTCGAGCGCTTTGAATATTCGAATGAATGTCACGGTATTCGAATTCTCTTTATTTTCCTAAATTATTGAAATTTCGAAGTATTGAATATGAACAAACAGGTGTAGCCCCTTTGCAAAGCTGGTTTTATTGCATTGGAGTGCTATGCGCAAGAACATGTATTCAGGAAAAATCTGCCCTGCAGCAAAGCCCCACTTTAAGGTTAAATGAACATACACTCATGATGATGATATCTGGAGTTTAACGTCCCAACCACCATATGATTATGAGAGATGCCGTAGAGGAGGGCTTCAGAAAATTTGACCACCTGAGGTGCTTTAACGTGCACCCAAATCTGAGCACACAGGCCTACAGCATCTTCGGCTCCATCGAAAATGCAGTCGCCGCAGCCGGGATTCGATCCCGTGACCTGCGGGTCAGCAGCCGAGTACCTTAGCCACTAGACCACTGCGGCGGGGCAACGAACTTATGCTGTTACCCTCACATCAATTTATCATTTTTAAGTTTAAAAGCTTGTTATAATGGCTGATACACTGTAAGTGAAGTAAATTTTAAAACATGACATATTGTAAGCACAATATTGACAACGTTTGACCTTCATCTTCATCTGTATATAATCATCATCACGAAAAACGTCGTCTTCGTTCGAAGGGTTGATCAGGCGATTCGGCCTTAAGAAACGCCGTCGAGACTCCAACGCTGCTACTGTCTTACAGAGTGGAGGAGCTGCTTCGATCCCCAAGTCCTCTCCGACGTCACGTTCCCCTGGAGCTTCGTTCGGGTCGCCGCTTGCTTCCCCCGTCTGCTGTCGTGGCTCAAGAACCGCTGCCCGGAACATCCAGCATCCCTATCCAACAAACCATTCTTGCGTGGATCGTCAACGCCCGGCAGCGCGACCCACCCATCTTCTGTGGTCTTCCATGCGACGACGTCGAGGTATGGCTAAAAGAATACGACATGACCAGTGTTTATAACCAATGAGATGAGCCTCAAAAACTTCGTCACGTCGCCTTCTATTTGTCCGATGTTGCGAAAACGTGGTTTTTTAACCACGAGAGCAGCTTCCCGGATTGGCCTACTTTTGCTCAACAAGTCCGTAGGATTTTCGGAAAACCAAACATCCATTCCGAAGTGTCGAAACGAAAGCTCGATGGGCGTGCCCAACTTCCCGGGGAGACGTACACTTCGTACATTGAAGACGTCCTTGCCCTTTGGCACCGCGTGAACTCGGCGATGACAGAAGCTGATCGTGTTCCCCACATCATCAAAGGGATAGGCCATGTCGCGTTTAACGCTCTGGCTGTTAAAAAACCCCACCACCGTTGAGGACGTCATCACGGCATGTCAGCATCTTGATGAACTGCAAGCCATTCGATTGCACCCAGACTACCCAGACGCCAGTGACAGCAGGCCTTCCTCGGGTGCGGATTTGCACGCGCTGATTCGCACTCTGATTCGCGAGGAACTTCAAGCGCAAGGGTTGTCATGTGCACCCGCCCCTCGACCTCACTCTCAATCTGCTGGTCTGCGCGACATCATCAAAGAGCAGCTCTCATCCATGACTGGCGCTCTCTTATCGAACACTACGGCGCCACCAACACCACCCATGACGTATGCACAAGTCGCTGCCATGCCACCTGCCTTGCTTCAGCACGCGCATCCTGTTCCTGCGCACTCCAACGTAGCAGCATTTGCACCACACTCGCCTGTCCCAGCGCCAGTACCAGCGCCTGTGACAGTTCCAGAACACTACGCCCCCTGGCGCTCACCTCGCCCAATATGTTACTACTGTGGCATTCGGGGCCATATTTCACGATTTTGCCGCAAGCGCCAACAGGACTAACGCCGTGGCTACAATGTTTACGAAAGGGATTCGGAGCCATCCCCGAACTAGTACTAGCGACGCCCTACGACACGTTCCATCTCTCCGAATTCTCTACTCGCCGCACCTCGCCCCTGCTATCCCGGACGCCGCCGGTCCCCTTCACCTCTACGACGCTCAACATCTCCTCTGAGACTGGCTGTACCTACTTCTGACTACCACTCGGAAAACTAGCTGGTGCAGTTTTTGGAGGGAAAGCTGCATCGCTCGAACAAACACCAAGACCTCCAGAGGGCCCAGCCAACTTGTTATTAGTGTATGCGGAAGGGGTACCAGTTCAGGCATTGGTGGACACGGGGGCTGCTATTTCTGTTATTCATGCGAATTTGTGTACTCGTCTACGTAAGGTTACCACACCTTACACTGGCACTCTCTTACGTAGCGCAAATGACTCGCAGATACGGCCATCAGCACAGTGCACCGTTAGAGTTTTCATTTATAAGATCCGGCATCATATTCAGTTTGCCGTGCTGCGTTCTTGTGCTTTTATGCTTATTTTAGGATGGGACTTTCTATCTGATGCTGCTGCTTCCATCTCTTGTCGACAACGACTCATACATATGCGAGAGACAGATGATATTTCCCCAAAATTATCATGTGACCGGCTTCGAACAGCCAATGACTTCCTTGTGCCACCTAACCACAAGCACGTTACCACGGTTATGTCTGACTCCATTGACCACGGTGACGTCCTAGTTAGTCCATCAGCCTGTTGTCTATCCAGAGGGATTGCACTTTCATCGAGTCTTGTCCGCTTCTCCAACGGCACCGCATTTCTTGCAGTGCTGAATATCACCAATGAGCCGATTCTGCTGACCAAGGGCACTGTTGTAGTTTCCAGCATGGACACACAACCTATATCTGTAGTGGCTTCGGATACCAGTCTGGAGGAATCATGTTCAATACCAACAGATGCTCCACCTACTACGGCTCTCGTCAATGCCATCAGCATGGATCTCACTGCCCCGCAAGCAGACGAACTACTGGCATTGTTGTCTAAGCATAACTTTTCTTTCGACGTACATTCCACTGCTCAAAGCCAGACTTCTGCGGTGGCTCATCGCATACACACCGACGAACTTCTATTGTCCGTTATCGACCATACCGTGTCTCTTCCAGCGAACGCGAGATCATCGACAAGCACGTTGCTGATATGCTCAAGCAAAACATCATCCGCCCCTCCTCAAGCCCCTGGTCGTCACCTGTCATTCTCGTAAGAAAAAAAGACGGTTCGGTGCGGTTCTGCGTTGACTACCACGCATTAAACAAAGTAACCAGAAAAGACTTATATCCCTTGCCTCGCATTGATGATGCCTTAGATTCCTTACAAGGAGCGGAATATTTTTCGAGCCTTGACCTGCGCTCCGGTTATTGGCAAATTCTAATGCACGAGGGTGACAAGGAAAAAACGGCCTTTGCCACACCTGACGAACTTTATGAATTAACGTCATGCCTTTCGGCCTCTGCAATGTGCCAGCAATGTTTGAACGACTGATAGACACTGTATTGCGGCGCCTTAAGTGGAAAACATGCTTATGTTACCTTGACGACATCGTCATATTTTCTTCAACATTCGAACAGCACTTGCAGCGCATAGATGAAGTTCTGACGTGTCTCGCAGCTGCTGGCCTTCAGCTCAACACCAAGAAGTGCCACTTTGCTAGCAAAAGTATTAAAGTACTCGGGCATCTCGTCAGCAAAGAAGGAATCCGGCCTGACCGCGACAAGATTACCGCCATTCTTTACTTCCCGGTGCCTCAGCACGTCAAAGAGCTCCGAAGCTTTCTTGGCCTTGCGTCGTACTTCCGGCGCTTTATACGAGACTTCGCCACCATTGCTGCGCCACTTCACCAACTCCTTTCTTCGGGAGCGTCATACGTATGGTCGGACGAATGCCAAATGGCTTTTGACACCTTGAAACGTGCCCTCACGTCTGAGCCAGTGCTTTGTCATTTCGATAACGCCGCATCCACTCTCCTCCATACTGATGCCAGCGGACACGGACTCGGCGCTGTACTTCTGCAACGAACAGAGCGTTATGACGAATGTGTGATCGCATATGCAAGTCACACCCTCACAGCAGCAGAGAAAAACTACACCATCACCGAGCAGGAGTGTCTCGCCGTTGTCTGGGCCATCCAGAAGTTTCGACCATATCTTCACGGCCGCCACTTTACCGTCATCACTGACCACCACGCTTTGTGCTGGCTGTCAACGTTGAAGAATTTGTCTGGACGTCTCGGTCGCTGGATACTTCGTCTCCAAGAATACGAGTTTGACATTATCTACAAATCCGGCAAGAAACACAACGATGCCGATGCCCTTAGCCGCTGTCCTTTACAATCCTCATCAGGCACTCCTGGCGTGTCGCCAACTGTCAGTGAACCCATCAAAGTATCTCCGTCAGTTCATTCACTCGCCGCTGTCGATTTTCTTTCTACCTCAACAACGAGACGTTTGCATCCCACCAACACAGCGACACTTACTGTCGCTCTATAATGCAGCGCCTTCAAGGCTCCTCTCGTCCTCCCAACGCTCGCGCCCATCGACAGCTGCGGAACTTCAAGACTGAAAACTTAATCTTTTACCGCTTTGTCTTCCACCCCGAAGGACAGCGCTGGGTTCCTGTTGCTCCTCATTCTCTAAGGGCGCAGATTTTGGAGGCGTTTCACGATGACCCCAAGGATGGTCATCTCGGTTTTCAAAAAACCTATGAACGCATCCGCAGTCGTTTTGCCTGGCCTGGCCTTTCCAAATGCATAGCGCGATATGTTGCGGCATGCTCGCTATGCCAACGCCACAAGCGACCCACTTCTTCCCTGGCCGGTCTTCCACAACCTCTTCCGTGTCCTGACGCTCCCTCCGATGTCATTGGCGTTGACCTCTACAGACCGCTACCAATATCAGCTAGCGGCAAGCGCTGGATTGTCACAGCATTGACCACTTAACAAGGTACGCCGAAACAGCTGCACTTCCTTCAGGATCAGCAGAGGACATTGCCACATTTTTTCTGGAGGCAATCTTTCTAAGACATGGTGCACCACGCATCTTATTGAGCGACCGCGGCAAGGCGTTTCTCTCGAAACTACTCGAACAAGTCCTCCACGCATGTAATACGATTCATAAGACGACATCCAGCTACCATCCCCAGACTAACGACCTCACAGAGCGCTTCCATCGAACTTTGATCGACATGATATCTATGTATATCAACGCCGACCACACCAACTGGGATACCATCCTGCCATTCGTGACTTTTGCGTACAATACCGCTACGCAGCGCACCACGGGCTATTCCCCATTCTTTCTCGTCTATGGCCGTCAACCAACATCTTTGCTCGACATCTCTTTTTTTGACATCCCTGTGAACTCATCATCGTCATCGAGGGAGCACTTAATCTCTCGCCTGGCCGATTGTCGCCGACGCGCCCACCTCAATACACAGGCAAGCCAACAAGAGCGGAAGACTCGCTACGATGGCGTCCACCACGAAGTTCACTTCAATACTGGAGACGAAGTACTGTTGTGGACCCCAACGCGGGTTCCCGGCCTGTGTGATAAGTTTCACTCACGTTTCATCGGCCCCTACGCTATAGTCGAGCAGACGTCTCCTGTTAACTATCGAGTAACCCCTGTTGTCATGCCTTCCGACGGCCGTTTTTGTGGCACGGAGGTTGTTCACGTGTCGCGCTTAAAACCATTCGTGCGCCGTACACCACCGTCATAAACAGCGGCCTCATTGGCCGCTTCCGCGCGAAGGGGAAATTAGTGTAAGCACAATATTAACAACGTTTGACCTTCATCTTCTTCATCTGTATATAATCATCATCACGAAAAACGTGGTCTTGGTTCGAAGGGTTGATCAGGCGATTCGGCCTAATAAACGCCGTCGAGACTCCAACGCTGCTACTGTCTTACAATATTTTACTGATTATAACTAGCATTCCACCGAAAGTCAAATACTGCAACTTTTCAGTTGTTTCCACTTCCTTTGAACTGATAACAATGGCATTACACATGCCTTGTTTTGTTTATGTTTTAATTACTCTGCAGGCTGGCTGGGTCATGATGAATTTGCCCTTTTTCTTTATAAAACGTGATATATACTATTCTAGTTCCAGTCAAAATTATCCTGCCAAATCATTATACGCTTTCAATTCGCTTCAAACCTACAATTTCGAACTTGCACGAGCCTAATAAACTGTGTGTAACCACTGTACCACCAGCAGAAAATGTAAATTGGAAAAGACAGCTGTAAAGCTAAAGCATAGACACTAGAGTGAAAGCTGCCATGAAAGATGTGAAGTGGAGCAAATAGTTTTTCTTTAATCGCATCATTCTGAAACAGCATGCTGATGCTAAGCAGATGTTGGCAGTAGCAACCAAGGTGCAGCTGTCAGTCAAATATATTCAATAAAACCTTACTCTCACTTTAAGCATTTGGTTTTGCATTTCAAATAGTATTACGGAGCCTGAAAGCAGGTATTAAGCAGTAAATGAAAAATCTGAAGCAAAGTTCAATTCGAATACTCAACTTGCAGCTGCATGTATCACTGTTTAAGATAATATGCGTCCCCACTATGCAATAGTATATTTTACATAAAACTGTCGGCAAGAACAGCAATACATATCATGACAGGTGTACTTTAACAGGTGACAGGTGTATCTTTAAGAGCATGAAGAAAGCAAAATGGTGTGCTACTAAGCACTGACTGGTTTGAGTTTTCTGAATTTTCAACAAACCACGAAACAAGTCAAATACAGTAACCAATTGTTAAAATTTTTATGATTACTGTTGTTATTGCTCCACAGCATTTGGCTAAGCCATTTATGCTGGCTCATTAAAAAAAAACTTAGCACTGCTGAGTGAACTTCTGCATTCGAGTTGAAAGGCCTAAATTCCCTAAACATCTTCAGTCACTTGTGCCAAAGGCGTAATTTTGTAACTTAGAATACACAATACTTTGTACATGCATAGGAAATACAGATACTGATACCCCGGATGCCAAAGGCATCATGATACAGATGCAAAATACCCTAGGTCTATCTAAGAAAGATAAATGTGTCTTCAATAATGACTGGGTGTCTACTGCGGTGGAGCAGTGGTTAAGGTGCTCAGCTGCTGACCCGAAGGTCGCAGGTATGATCCAGGGCACAATGGTCACATTTCAATGGAGGTGAAATGGTACAGGCCTGTGTGCTATGCGATGTCAGCGAACGCTGAAGAACACCAGTTGGTCAAAACTTTCGGGGCCCTCCACCATGGCGTCTCTCACAATCATATGGTGGTTTTGGGACGTTAAACCTGAGATATTATTATTAAGAACAACCAGGCCTGGTTATGGTGATAATAATAATTACTACAGCTCAGAAGCAACTGTTGAGAGTGAACAACGGTTCTAAGACATTTGATAAAATGAAAATTTGCACCAGAGAGGCTTGCACAGTTCTTGAATAGTAAGGATGAAAATTTGGTCACGCCTGGTCTGAAAGTTGTTAGGAATAGCAGGAGGCAGTGCCAAAGTCTCATTCACCTGATATGCCACACTAAGCCCGCATAACATTTCACGATAACAGCAACAAATCCTTGAAAGCATGAATGTGCGTATAACCTGCACCACAAAACGGTCACAGATTTGTATAATGCGACAAGAGTTACCATACAAGCAGCAATGTAAGCAAAAATTTTTTGACACAACTTACATATCCTTGAAGAAAGTAATCACATGAAAGCTGTTCCTATTGTCAACAAAACTACATTTTAAACCCAGCAGGAGCAGCCAGCCAGCCTTCAGTGAAAATAGAAGTGCTTTGGAACAGCACACTATCTCTCAAGGAAGTCATTTAAGAGCATTTTTTCAGAGTACCAGTTACTATTGCGAAAACAGACTCTGGAGACTTTCCAGAGGGTCGTGACCAGCATGGCGATGCACACGGAAGCGCCCGCCCGGACCCAGAATCCGAGCCAACGCGCTTCCAGGGCTGCAGTAGCATTCTGAAAATTTAAAGGACATGAAAGTTCCTTACCTTATACAGTTTCTCTTCATCCGATTCAAATATCTTGAGAGTCAAATAGAGAAGGGCACTATTTTCCACTCTGAAAGAAATAATGTTAAGTATAAGTTTTACCAATTATTCCAAATATGTTCTAGATAGGGACCTGCGGCAAGTTTCTGTTTCATTACATACTCTCACATGACTGAAGCAAGGAAGTCGCATTTCATCTCAGTTGCTTCGAAAGCAGCCGCAGTTACTGCAGCTTTTCAGGTGTACACATGCACAAAATGACTAGAGGTGCAACAGCATAGGCAGACTGGAGTAGAAGCCAATTTTACACCAGTGGCTGAATTCTCTTTCATAATTTGACTTTGCCTACATTTAAAAAATTTTAGGTTCACATTTTACCTAAAACATTATGTATTATGTAAGTGGTTGAATTTATGTACAGCATTTTATCACATGCAATGTATAAGCCATACCTGCATGTAACCCGCGGCTCCAGTTACAAATTACATGTAACCCACAGCTCCAGTAACAAATTAGGGAAAAATATAAATTTTAAAAAAATGCCCATTTACTGTTGTGATGATGCTCTTCTTGTGCAACTATGAAGCAGTGCTGCAAAGTCAACTTGCACGCTGAAATTCATGCACTGCCCACACCGCGGCTTTAGCTTCTAGTTTTTTTTTTTTATATTCTGTACGGGCTATACACGAAAAAATATGTAACATTTCATTAGGCCTCATTCAGAGACATAACAAGTAAGTATTTTACAGCTTTGCCCTTAGAATGGCAAGTATGTTTGTAATCTTTTCTTTTAATTCTTTAACGAACACTAAAAAGAACAATGACTTTTATCATACTAGTAAATTACACTTTCACAATAATGAAACTCCCATGCTTGCAGCAAGATTATGCTAGGCTAGTGAGAAAATGAACAACAATAATATTTAGGAGGTGACACCATTTCGAAATTTCCACGCCAAACACTGCGATGTCATAAATTTTGACGGTTACTATTAGGTTCTAGATAGTTCCTCATCTGTAAGTATGAAAATGAGTCTTCTGAGGTGGCCATAGACATAACATAACAAGTTTCTCATTATCGAGTGAGTGTCACCGAAATACCAGAACTATCATACACTTTGATATACGTGATGTGATGCGTGAATATTTGGGCACAATGTTTAAAAACGGATCTAACCCAAATTTTCTCTTCTATTAATAAACTTATGACAGTGAAATTAACTGCATTAGATTCTCAGAGTACAATTTATCAATCTAAACTTATTCGTTGGTTCACTTTAGAGCCCCTTTAAAAAGGCACCTTGGCTATACAGACATATCAGTGCTGTTTAATTTTCTGTCTGAGCACACTGATCTCACAAGCAGGGCAAAGAAGAATATCAGAAAAGCAACAGAAGTAATATAAGTAGGATTACAAGCATGTATATTTCTAGATAGCTGTGCCATGCAAGCAAATGTTCCAGCATAAAGACCAAATTTAGCAAAACTCTAAAGCACACTCTGCATGCTCACTTGATATCAAATCCTTCTTTTTTGCTTGTCTCCACAAGTAGTTCTGGTTCAACATAGTTTGAAGGCTCTGCTGGCTTTTCTTGTACAGCAGAGGTTGAAGGCTCTACCGGCTTTTCGTGTGCAGAAGACCCACTGTCATCGCCTGCATTGGATGTCGTACCAGAGGCACACTTGTCAATGTGATCGTAAATAGAAAACACTTCCTCGTTCTGTTCACTGACATCTGTTGGTCTGTCTTCTAGCTTAACTTCATCGGCCGCACTTTCTTCACAGCCATCTGGGGCACCTCTGTCACCTTCCACAAATGCATAACATCCAGAGTCTATCATCGAAACAGCTGACTCAGTTAACGGCACAAAACATCCAGTCGCGCCTTTCTCACTTGATGGGGCTTCTTGCAAGAGGTGCTGCTTTTCTGCTTGAGCCAGGGCCTGCCCCTTCACAGCACACGCCTTCTTATCAACATCTTTTGCCTCGCCAGCCATTGATGTCACAACTTCACTCCCGCACGTTGACACTAATTTTTTTGGCTTAGTAGCACTCTGGCCAACCCCTTTGCGCCTCATTATCACAACTCGCGTCACCTCAAGCTCTACATCCCCAGCCTCATTACAGTCACCAGAGGATGGTGGGACAACATCTAAGTTGATGATCCTTTGAATGCGCTGTCGGTCCAGAAACGCGGCACACTCAGCACAACCACAAGTCTCGGGGACATGCACTTCTTCCGCAGGTGATGCCAGAGAAGACAGCGTGGCACAAGACACACGAACACTGTGGATTCCCGAGTCATCCTCCCGAGAGCTGGTCGAACTTTCCGTTGATGATATGGTCATCACAGACACTCCCTGTAGACAGGGAGAAAATAGGAACATGGTTAATTAAAATAAGTACTAGTTTTAATCTAGCAGCATCATGAAAAGTATCCTTTTCTGACACAAAATTTTGAAGGTGAGATAACTTGCGAGATAGATTTGTGTGGACAAACATATATCCCTCACAAGATATCAATAACTAATATAGATTAAACCATACCTAAAATCAATTTTGAAAGTGTGTGCCATGCAGCTTTACATAAAATGGGGCACCTTGTGATGTCAGCATTAACTTGGCTTGAATGTAAACACCCCACAAACTCTCGCCTCCGAGACAGGCGCGCATCTTTCTCCGTGGGCACGCAGGCCTTCCTTCCTTCCTTCATTTTCAAAGATAACTGCAGATGACGCTCGTGTCTAACGTGCCTCGATGTGCTTGTTCGCCTTCGCTGCACTGATCGATACTCTCTAACGCAGCGCTTCCAGAATACAATTCACCAATTTTCTCGTGCAGAACATCAAATAAACGTTTTGTTCACTCTCTTCACACGCAAGACATTTGCACTGAAACATGCAGATGCGGGGCCTTTTTTTTTTTTTTTTTTTAATGTGTATGTAAAACTCCTAAAATCTTGACTCTAGCCTGAATTTGTAAACTTTTCAAAAAACAGGGCAGAGCTGGAAAACATATTCTCTATAGTACATACATCAATAGTACAAGCTTGACTGGTCTCTCACCTGAGGTAGCACCACAACATCGTCGTCCGCATGGAGTAAAGACTGGCGAAATGATATGATCTTTGGCCAGGCATTAGTGTCATCCAGCAGTGCATTGTTCTGAGGGAAACAAAACATGTGAACATTTTTAAAAACATGAAAAGTAGTATGGCTGAAGCGTTCCATTTCATCTAGTTATATATATAGGCAAAAGATGCAACAAAAAAATAGTAATCCTGGAGTGAAAGTGGCACTGTGCGTGGTATATGAGCACTTCTAAGAGCAGGTAAAAGGCAGTTTTGGAGCATACTGGGAGCAGTTACTGTATTTACTCAATTCTACCACGCCCTAGATTGTAATGCGCACCCGGTTTCCACGACGAAAAAAAAAAAAAGTAAGACACCGATTGCAACGCGCACCCATTTTTCTCGTTGGCCCGCACGATCACACTATTCAAAGGAACGACTCCTTTCGGGAGCGTCTTCCATTTAAATATGAGGTACGGGGTAAGCTTGTGCCCATCTGATGTGTAACAGAGCATGGCCATCAATGTAGTTTTACCGTGGACCGATGTCAGCACGCGAACTTGCTTCGCCCCCTTCTTCTCAACGGTTGTGGTGCCAGGCATGTCAAAGTAAAGAGGTGTCTGATCGGCATTCCCAATTTGCCCAAGCAGGTAATTATTGTGCCGGAAATTTAGGACGAACCTCTGAAAACTGTGAAGCTTTTCATCGTACTCCTCCGGAACCTTTTCGCATATGCCCGTTCGCCTTCGGAGGGAAAAGCCTTTCCTCTTCATAAAGTTAGTTAGCCAGCACCTGCTCGCTTTAAACTGGCTCCGCATTAGACCTTTTTCTAAGGCTAACTGCATAGCCCGCACTTGGAGCAGTTCTGTCGTCACGCGCCGCTGTGCCACTCGCTGCTCAAGCACATACTCACCGAGCAGCAATTCAATTTGGGGAAACCGACCCTGCTGTGGTCCACTGAAGCCTTTGCGTGAAGCTTTGCTGTCGACTGTCTTCTGCTTTTGTTTCCGCCAGTCCCGCACGCACGTTTCGGGAACTCCGAACGACCGTGATGCGGCCCGATTTCTGTCCGTTTTTCCACACGCGATGACTTTTCTTTTAAAAGCGGCAAAGTGGTGCACTCAAGTTTTTGGAGTCGGCCCTTTTATGCCGTCGATGCTAATGCACTACAAGATGACGAACTCCTCAGCACACGTACGAAGTGCCACACATGGGAAACACATAGGCAGAAATGGTCGACGCGCCATGCCGACGCATGTAGGGGGCGGCCATTTTGGAAATGCCGATGGCAATAGAATGACCATATTCATTTTTTTTCGTACTCGATTCTAACGCGGATGCGATTTATGAACTCGCTTAACCGGAAAAAAGGTGCACGTTAGATTCAAGTAATTACGGTAAGTTACTCTTTCAGAAAAGGCAGAAGAACATTATTGAACTACATTTTTCATTAGAGAATCGCCCATGATATATCAAAATTACCCTTTCCCTATGAAGTTTTTTGGCCAGAAATGATACAAAAATATGTTCCCTGCTTGCTTCTATGCATCCTAAAACATTTAAAAAAATTATTTAAAGAAACTTTATTCACAAGATACACACCAACAAAAATATTTTATTTATTGTGCAGATGAAAATAAAGAGGAGCAGAGAAGCGAATCCATGAAAAGAAATGCTAAACCTGCTGGTGGGAGTTTGCTTACATCTAAGGGATAGGTCGGGACACGAATGTCACTCAAAACCCATTATTCAGAGAAAGCATGTTTCTATGTGCAGTTGCTTCTAGACACACAGGAGAACTGAAATTCTACAGCTCACGAAACTTCAGCAAACAAAGGCATTCTTTCCATGGAGCTGTTCTGGCAGGCATACCCAGAGAAGGAAGCCATTTTTTCTAATTTTTTTTGCAGATACCAAGTCCTTTCCCAACTAAATGCATGCTTTTAGCAAGTTTCTTAACTCTTTACAGCACTATCTGTTCAAACCAAAAATAACACAGGAAAGTAAATCAGTTTAGCTTAACTGCGGCGCCCCCAAATTCTTGTTCCATCGTAGTGTAGCCCAGCTCATCTTCGGTTAGAGGGGTACAAGCTATGTTGACAATCGATTGATTGATTGATTGATCGATATGTGGGGTTCAACAACCCAAAACCACCATATGATTATGATAGACGCCCTAGTGGAAGGCTCCGGAAAGTTCGACCACCTGGGATTCTTTAACGTACACCCAAATCTGAGCACACGGGCCTACAACATTTTTTCGCCTCTATCGGAAATGCAGCCGCCGCATCCGAGATTCGATCCCGCGACCTGCGGGTCAGCAGCCGAGTACCTTAGCCACTAGACCACCGCGGCGGGGTATATGTTGACAAGCTCAGTTCATCTGCGATAGCAAAAGGGCTAGAACAATTAACCTGACAACACTGTTAGGAAAGAGGCCTGATCACCTTAGAGAGCTGTGTGCTGAGTTTAAGCACAAAAAGGGAGCAAGCTGAGAGTAACAAAAGGATGCAGAACGATGCATATTGCTGGCCGAGAAGTATAGCGCATTAAAAATGGTAACTAAAACAAGTGCTGGGCTCCATGGCCCAATACTATAACGTTTTATACATCAGTCAACGAATTTCACCTGCGTGCCATTTCCTGTTGTACAGTACCTACATCAGCCTTCCAAGTGTGTTTAAAGCCTTACAAGTGTCCTCTAGTCGCCTGTCAGAAAATAAACACTCAAGCATGTCCCAAAATTAATATTTATTCACTTATTCACAAGGTGACTAAATTTCCCAACTATATTTGTCAATGCACCATGACATGCATTGTTTGACTTTGGTTGAGTTATCGTTAAGAGTAACTATGTTTACGCTTACGGCACACAGAAACATGTGGACATGTGCTTTGTTTTGTTTGTTTCTTTCCAGTTTTGTCAACATCATTAAGAGAACGTAGAGCTGAATCTTCAAAAAACTTTATTTTTAATGGTTTTTGAACACTCGGGATGGGCGAGTAGTTCATTTAAAGTTTGGGGCGAATTCAAAGTGTATAGGAATATCAATTTCAAATGGAATAGTTTGAATAGTATGCATCACATATTATTAAAAAAATTGTGCATCTTTATCATGGCCCAACTAACTTGCACAATATTTTTAAGAATTGGAACTGGGCATGTGAGAGTGTCACTTCTTTGGCTCGGAAGTGAAGTGGAAGCAACACTGAATAATATCAGGACTTGTATAGGAATACGGTGCTAGTTACAACTGTTACTATCCTTCGTAACGCTTTGAAAGTTGCTATACTTAGCAGACATAAGTCCATATAAGATGCTTTTAAAGTAGAGTAGTGCAAATAGCAAATTTGGGGTGCAAATCGAATTTAATATTTTTCTAATATTTCTCTAATACTTCTAAGAGATTTTTCAAATGCTTCGAAATCAAATTGCAGAAAAAGAAAAGTTTGAGAGGATTCCTAAGAATATTATGAGATCGCAACATGAGAGTGTTTTTTTTGGCTAGGTTAGTGAAGCGCTGGCAGGGTAGTGTTTCATAGAGTGACTTGTTGGAACAGCACACGCACACCGCATAGAAGGCCACAAAGACAGCCGCATTAGTTAACGAGAGGTTTAAACACTGAAGACGCTCTCGTATTTGTTTTTTTTGCGCCATAAGCTACGCTAAGTGTTTCATAGTTGTCTTATAAAGGATGAGGCAATGCAGAGACAGAATTGTATTTACGTACATGATTTGGTGCAACCAAAGTGTTGCCGACAACGCTTTACATGTTCAGAGCAAAAATGATATTTCCTCATCCTCTCCTCAGCCTTGTAGACACTAGTTTATAAGAACATCTGAAATTTTGGATGTTTAGAATTTTCGGCATCCGATTTTTCGAACTTCCTGCTTGAATTTCAGATTCAACACAACATAGAGTCCCAACTCTGCCACATCTATAGTCGTCATGTTGAACCCAGCGTTTCTTTGTCAAAACAATTGCGACTATAGCAAAGCTTAAAAGACAGCTTTGCCGCGATACAAAAATGTGATGGGGTGAAGCATATTAAAAATCTGCACGGGCTACTGCTAATTTGACATTGACTGTATTTGTCTCCAGGGAGTTGAATAGTCCAAATCGTAAAATTTTCGTGCAACTCGAATCTAATAACAAACACTATTAAAAATATTCAAGATTTCTAATATATGCACACTGCAATGTTAATCTTTAAAAATAATAGAGGTGAAGAAAATATGTGCTCTTCATTTTGAAGTGTAACTTTGCTGCAGTGCAGATTTCCCCTGAATAAGCCGCTTCACGGCACAGTATGTCACACTGCAGTAAAACAACCTTTACAAAGAGCTATATGGGCTCAATTATACATAAATTCCACCTTTTCAAATACTACGAAATTATGAATAATCTAAATTCATGTTTAAGTGAATTCGAATACTGCAGTAATAATTTGAATATTTGAAGTGGTCGAATATTCGTCCCTTTTTAATGACTACTTCTCTTTAACTGAGCAAGCAAACCTAAAGCTGCAGCAAAAAAAGCAACCTTTATAATACCTGTTACAGTGGGCATAAAATATGGCAACTAATATGGTTGACTTATGCTTCAATCCTTCAAAACAGCCAGGCTTCCGTCAGTACGCCACAATCATTCGCACACTCTAATAATATGCATGGTGTCATTGACACAATACACCTCACTACAGGCATGGCATACAAAATGGGCTATCTTGATGGGTGTTGTATAAAAGTTGCAAATGAGGCACTTGGCCACCCCCGCTCCCCTTACCCTAGTTCTAATGCAGCACGAGCTTCCACCCCAACACAAAATCTTCTTGCTGACTCCTTTGGTTATTTTTGTCTCCGTGCAGGGGGCTCTGGAAGTATATCTGAAGTGTGGGGGCGACGTTTCTAGGCAGGGATATATATATATATATATATATATATATATATATATATATATATATCTGCAGATTGTGGTAGTGGGTTAATATAGCTACTACAATTTCAAGAAATTCGTACGATATTCATAAGACAGTGTGTTGCCACCTCATCCGAAACGCGCGTGAAACGAAATTCAATGCAGAATCGCTCGAAGCTTGCTTGCATAAACCGATTTCAACATAACCGGGCTCAAACTACACCAGCTGCCACTAGTACCGCCAGCGCTCTTCGAAAGAAGCAAAATAAAAGCGAATAAGGAAGATATCACGAAGCAAATGAAAACTAATCAGGAAGATATCACTGCAGGACTACGTTTACATGAAACCTGAAGGGGCGTTAATACATATCTGTTTTTGCTAAGGTGAGAAAAGAAGGGGGGCGGGGGGATGATTATAGCAGCTGTTAGCGGGGGCATGCTCCCCCTGGTTTCTAACCTGTGGGGGCGACAGCCTCCACTGGCCTCCCGTTTAGGAGCCCCTGTCTCTGTATTTGTCAATACGGCAGATGTGTGTATTCTTGGGTTTAAACAAACATGCCCCATTGCAGAATTACTTGATTTAGAAGTCACACCATGAGCTATACCCATTTCAACTAGTCCACAAAGTGCCCACTTCTTCAATAGAAACACAGCCGCGGGGGGGGGGGGGGGGGGGGAGTAGCAAACAAGGCAAGTAGCACCAACCCTGCCACACACACGCCCACTTCAGATGATTCAGTTAGAAATGCATGCTAAGCAGGCGAGAAGACGGGTACCCTATATATAATTCTGATAATGCACACCACCGAATGCTCTAAAGACTCTGACTATATCTATTTATCCTTCTTGTTATTTTAATGTGTTTATTAAATGAAGCTTCAAATGAGCAGCATGTAATTAAAGGAGTACCTTTTCAACACTGCGGATACTAGCACACAGGAACTTTTCTATATTAATGCCGAAAAATGCAGACTACCCAAAGTTTATTCTACAAGTTTTACTCAGCTCTGCCTTAAAAAATCCTGCTTAAGCATTGCCTAAAGTTTCTGCTGCCGGCCCTATCAAGCTGTTCTGGCGCATGTCCAAATGAAGTCTTGTCACCTCACAGCTTCCATGAACTCTAAAGGAAGGCCGAGAAGGAAGAATTTCGTGGCCCCAAAAGGTGTCGGTTTTACTATAAAGCTAAAATGCAACAGAAATGTGTTACCGGGTTCAGATTGAAAGAAATATGTTCCAATCCTGACAGCAAGGTGGCAAGCAGGTCCAAGTACTGCATAAACAAAACAGCACACATTGTACAACTTTGCAAGGCTAATGAAAATGATAAAAATGTACACACTGATATCATTATTGCTATTGCTGCTGTTGCTATCATTATTATTCCAGTTAAACTGTAATTGTTGCAAGAGCCAAGATATCAATAAGTGGACTTGTCTTCTTTTTCAGTAAAAACTGTCAAGAGAGCAAATAAAGCACACATGTAGACAACAAATCATATAGGCAATGAAAACATGCTTTGGTCCGCTAGGACAACTAAAATTGTGGTTTTTGTTTAGTTTGCGCATGCTTTGGGATTCACAATTCAACTAAATGCCCCTTCCTCTACCTTTCGACGTGGACAAAACCCCAATATGAGGCGTTGTGCCATGCTGCCCACTTTCTGTTTTTTTAACCAATCTAATCTGACACACTGGCTTATTTCCACCCTTGTTTTTCCTTCTCTCTTGTCCGCTGCTGTTCTCACATTCATCCCTGGCTCCTCTTTCGTTTCGATTCGAGTAGAGCATATGAAGCCCACACATACAAGCACTACATTATGCGGTTGCTACCAAAAACAAAAAGACAAGATCGCTTGTCAAAACGTCGGCTTCAGTAACTCCTCCCTTTTTAATGATTTTCCACTTCTTCAAGCTTCCCATTTTCTCTGGAACCTATTTGTGCTTTTAGATGAAACAAAAGAACCATCAGCTCTGCCTTCATGTGAGATGGAGATGACACAGCCACACACTGCATAGAACACGAAACGGTAGCCTTTACCTCACACAAAGCAGCAGAATTTGCAGCGAGGTGCTTCAAAAACAATGGCAGATATTGTTCTTGCTCCCACAGTTTACTAAGAGCCATGGCAGATAGTAAAGCAAGGAGGTTACAGTAAATACATTCCTTATCATAAACACATTGGCGCAACTAAAAACCATGACCACAAGATTACAAGCGCTATTAATAGAGCCCATAAGCATAATAAAAGCACTGAACAGCGGTAGTTCACTGTAACATGGGCTTATACATCAACCAAAGACAAGCTGTCGCACTGCGCTGCCACACACAAGTGTGCACAACACAAAGACTTATGAAGCTTGCACATTGGAACAAACTTGGCGCCACTCATCTAAATGATATTCTTGACAAAATTGATAACCCAGCTGTGCGATGGCAATGACAACTGGTTAGCGTTAGCCTAGTGAGCTTGCATTTGATAGTGGCCATACCAACTGCAAATTTCAGTCTAAAACTGCCGAAAATTCCACGAAAAGTCTTCTAACAAGCTTCCCAGGATATTTCTTTTTTGAATCCTAGAACCGTACAAAGTGGTCCGAATTTGTACATTTTACCGGTAGTCGGCAAGACTTATATAAAAGGCTTCTAAAATAATCATTGGGGTTTAATGTCTCAAAACCACCATATGATTATGAGAGACACCATAGTGGAGGGCTCCAGAAATTTCGACCTCTTGGGGTTCTTTAACAAGCACCTTAATCTAAGTACAGTCTAGAAGACTTTGGGAGTAGGTGGTAGGGCACGGATGGAAGGGCACACCACACTATGGTAGGGCACAGATGGAAAATTAGGACAAAAGCTCCCGTAAAGATCGATAAAACATTTTTTTTTCGGTACTTGTGCAAAAAGAAATTTTGTATTCACTCAGTGATAAGGTCCACACAAAGCCAAGGAATGTTCGTCATGCTTCAACCATCTCACCTGAGGGTCCCTGAGAAGGGAGTTCAATGAGTAGCCCTTGCGCAGCAGCCGCAAATTTTGGCGGAACGAGAGCATGTAGCTCTCCAGCAGTCCTCCGTTCAGGCTGGCCAAGAGCCAAGCACGGCCGTATCCAAGGTCGGTGGACACGGCCGACAGAGACGCAATGTCCTGCTGAGCCGCCGGGTGGGTGAACTTGCGCACCCATGGCCAATAGCCCCACTGAGGCTCTTGCAGGCTGTACAGAATAAACAAGACAAAGATTGGATGCGAGAAAAGTGTGCACAACACAGAAGACAGGACTGCAAATCACATAGCCAACCTAAGAACATACCAATTAGTTGATTGATTTCACATACACTCCAGCACCAATTGGCATTACAGAGTAGCACACTAGCTCAAGACTATGACAAGGGTCCTGCGATAGTGATATAATAAAATCAACATCTACACTCGTATTGCACCAATTCATACTGCATGAAAGATCCACTGCGAGCATATCAAGGAGGCACTGTTTTCTGCCCTTCATTTTTTCATCATTTCAAGCTTGCTAATCTTTTTTTATTACAAAGATAATAGTAATCAAGCTTGAATAATTTTCCTTTTTTTTTAAGTACCCTTCAAAGGTTGGTGGACATTCAAGCTTTCGCTTGCAAATGGGCAGACACACGGTTTTTAAACAGTGCACAGAAAACACACTGCACGGGAGCCGTGCAGATCGGGATAGTATATCATGCGGCCTGTGGGCCATATGACTGTCATGACTGTCTCGGTGCCATATTGTACTTTAAGAAAAAACAAAAGCTGCACCAAATGTGGACACCATGTGTTGAAACATACCGAGGAACAAAAACAGTATTTCAGAACCAGTATTTGGACTTTAAGTGTTCTGGAGATGGGTGTCGATATGTCTGTGAAATCCCGATGCCAAATCCGCTTCAGAAATGACTATATATGTGACACTGGAAAGCCCTTTCCATATTGTGTATGTATGTATGTATGTATGTATCTATACATAAAATGGGTCATTCCTGATGACGATTAGGCTGACATTTTGGTCCCCCACCTCTGTTCTTATCTTCTTCACTGTTCGGGCCCTAGTGGAGCTAAACTTCGTGACTGTGGTCCTCACGATGATGCGAGTTTGATACCCGTGGTAACAAATGCAATAGGACCCTTTGAAAAAAAGTAACAAATAACATGAAGGATGTAAGTTTTTACCCATAGAGAAACACGCTGTCAAGGTGCTCACATAACCAGCAAACCTCTGGAGTGTCTTCTGTCATACTATTGGTGCCAGCAGGCTCTGCAACATTCTGTACCTGGAAACCAGACAAATTTCCCTTTATTTGCTTGCGAGTCAATCTACGATCAATGGTGTGCAAGACAATCGTAGAAGTAAGAACCACTGCTTACATGAACCTGCATGCTTGCCAACCCAGAGACAAATTGTCATTAAGTTATCGGAGCAAATTCCCTGGCATACTTTTTTTTTTATTCTATCGTGCAGTAAGTACGCACACCGAGCCAATTATCATTTGCTGAAATAGAAGATGTTGTTCTCATTGCCATATCTATTACTTTATTGAATTATTTGGCAGTCCAAAGTTTGACACAAACCCATTTGGCTAGGGAAGATATACAAAAGACTAAAAGGCCTATTGACAAAAAGAATCATATTCATAACTGATCCGCTCGTCCCTTCCTCACTCTATTTTCTGATTGCGCCCTTCCTAACTTAAAATCCTTTAGTTGAAGTAAGTAACAATAAAAATATCAATGCCACAAATTCTTCCAAATTAATAGGAACCTCAGTGTCATATCGCTGGAACGTACTGATCAAAAACTGCTTTGAGGTGATTGAAATCTATAAACACTACAACGCTCAGCTCAGGTGACCGAACGAAAGGCGCTACCTGTATTCTGCAAGGCAAACGCCAAAAAGCTGTCCAGCGCGTACCTGCTTTATAGCCTCTTGAAGCGCTGTCAGAAGACGGTCTTTTGCGTCGTGATCAGAAGAGCCGAGCTGCTTAACGTCGAAGACAGGAACTATTCCAAATCGCGACATCGCGCCTAAGCGATCACTTGGCTGTAAACACTGCCGTCGACATTTGCCATGTGAACACCAGTGACACGACAAAGCGGCTGTCAACAACTTGGTACGCACAACCCGCGCTTGGAAAACTATTCTGTCTAGCCAAGAAACGGCGCGAGGCCAACCGAGAGTGCATCAATCGGAAACCGTTCTGCAACACTCTCTGCGACAGCTCCGTTCGAGCCACACTCGCACATTATAAGACAAAAGTTATCTGCTGTAACAGCCACTTTGTCGGCCTCGGAAACGTTCGGGTTGTGCATTTACAGCTTCACGACTGTTTTATCTACAAATCCTAAAGTGCCCACAGCCGTTCTGAGTGAGCTTACGATTACTTTCATTTCCGCATGTCACACAACAAAACAAAACTACTGCTCCGCGACTGCAGTCCTCCTGTCGACGACTGAAGTAAGCGTTGCCAAGCGTCTCTAAAGCTTCGTGATAATACAAGTAAATGCGAAATAAATCTAAAAACAAAACTAAGCATTACTTACTTGCAAAAAATTACAATTAAGAAGTTATAGTCGTATTTTTCTTTGTGTAGTGGTACTGAGAAGTCAAATCTGTTAAATATAAATAACAAGGCCGCGCACAAGCAAGCCAAGCCACAGTCGAGAGTTTGAAAATGTTTCACGGCCGCTGCATGAAGCGTTCTTGATTGTCCCAAGTGCACTTACAAGCCCCTTTCTTCTTATATAACGTCTAGACAGTGACATGCTTAGCTGCACGGTTTCGTTTACTTATCTTCGATAATTCTCGGAGACGCACTATGGGAATCTACGTGACGGTCAACTTGGATATCGAGCCGCTTACAGCTGAGCTTTTGTTCCCTCTAGGTCTTCCTGCTGGAAGCTCCATTGACCTGATAGTCGCTCCTCCGTCTCTACCAAAAGCGAAAGACCGCAAAAGGCCGTTTTCATTGTGTCATGCCCTCGTATGCGGCAGGAAGGTTCCCATCGCTCGGAATAATTTCGACAAGAGTTTCGAGGCGCCCTCCGTTCCCAAGGGACTGTGCGTCCGCTCCCCAGTCGTCAACGGACAGCGGATGTGCCTGTTGAAAAATGTTCGCAAGGGGACGTCAACCAGGTCGGTAACAAACGCGGTACCACAAACACCGTTGGCGCCCGTAGACACGGTCGTCGCGGACGACCCTGAAAAGTGCAAGAGAGCTTTGGAGGACATCATAAAGGCCGGCGAGCCCGAGACCAAAACCGTGTTTGTGTGTACCGAGTGTTCCCACCGTACTTTCGACAAGGAAGAAGCGGTGGAGCATTGCAAGTCGCATCTCGCGTCCACCGGCACAGCGGATGCGGCGAAAGCTGTGCCGAGGCTTCCGCCGAAGCGCGGGACGCCTCCCAAGGAGAGGTTTCACTGCAATACCTGCACGAAGTCGTTCCCTTCGAAACAGAGTCTTCAGACACACCTGCTCAACCACACAAGCCGTGGCACTGCGGTGCCTTTGGTGACCACGCTGAAAAGCGCTAGTAATGTGCCTCCCAGAAGTGAGCCCGCAAACAGTCCACCAAAACCCGTTTCAGAAACCGCTTCTGATTGCCTACAAGCATTAGTTTCTTGTGTTCTCGAGGGATATGCGAACCCTTCTCAAAGCATTTCGGTTCCAGATGATTCCAGCGTCAGCGGAGCCACTGTGTACACAAGCCATGGTACTGCGGTGCCTTTGGTGACCACGCTGAAAAGCACTTGTGATTTGCCTCCCAGAAGTGAGTCTGCAAGCAGTCCACCAAAACCCGTTTCAGAAACCGCTTCTGATTGTCTACAAGCATTAGTTTCTTGTGTTCTCGAGGGATATGCGAACCCTTCTCAAAGCATTTCGGTTTCAGGTGATTCCAGCGTCAGCGGAGCCACTGTGTACACAAGCCATGGCACTGCGGTGCCTTTGGTGACCACGCTGAAAAGCACTTGTGATTTGCCTCCCAGAAGTGAGTCTGCAAACAGTCCACGCGAACCCGTTTCAGAAAGCACTTCTGATTGTCCACAAGCAGTAGTTTCTTGTGCTCTCAAGGGATATGCGAACCCTTCACAAAGTGCTTCGATTTCAGGTGATTCCAGCATCAGCGGAGCCACTGTGCTAAGCTGTGTAGGGTGCACTGAGATGTTTGCATCACTCTCTGACCTTGACTCTCATCGTCAGTCAGCACATCCAGATACACACTTTTGCCACATCTGTGGTGAACTGTTCGGTAAGGCCATTCACCTAGAATCGCACGTGACAGCGACACACGGAAAAGGCATCTGCTTCTATTGCACACTTTGCCTGAGGGTTTTTTTGGGTGAGGAATCCTTCAAGGAGCACAAAGCGCAGTGTGGTGTTGTCTGTGCTACATCCAAGCGCAAAAGGCGAGAGTTTATCTGCTCCCATTGTTCTTTCATCACTGATTCTTACTCCCAACTGTGTGACCATGTGGTTGAGAAGCACCCCAATGTTTCAGTGCATCAGTGTGAATCTTGTCAGAGACCTTTCCTCCATAGTGCCATGCTTGAGCATCACCGCAAGACTGTGCACGATAATACAGATCCAGTCGACAGCCAAGAGAATCGGCAAGAACTCAATGACACGTCTCTATCCATGCACATTCTGTGATCGTGTGTTTAAAAGCTACCAAGGCATCCGGGCGCACACAAACATTCACAAAAACCTGCGGCCATTTGAGTGCCGCAAATGTGGCGCCTCACTGACGTCACTGAATAACCTTAAAGCGCACATGGTCGCTATTCATGGCAGCCCTGGTGACAACGCAAAGTGTCCTCACTGCCCTAAGGTCAGTTTTATGGTTTGCTCTCAAGTGCTGTAATATTATTGTATATGTTCGTTTCCCATTTTGGTACCTTTCAGTGTAGTGTACCAAACTGAAAGCTTATTTTCTCATTAACCTCTAAGTCTTTTCTTAATTTGTCTTTTTCCTCGTCTCTGCATGTTGCAGAAAAACTGACTAGTAAGATTATGTTCCTTTAAATTATAATAGATCACATTTACCAATTACTGCCCCGAGAAGGTAATCGAAGACTTATTAGAGAGTAATGTATTACTTTTGTGTTACTTTCCTCCCAAAATTGGTTAACATTATATGCCCTTGCAGTTTTTTTACATTATCGCACAGGTGGTGAGCGCGGGATATGGTAGCACTAGCCTCTGATGTTTTCAAAAGGTAACGACATCTGTCGACATTGCACAAGTGCACAAATCGCACTGCATGAGCAGCCAAGTGTAAGTCTACTCAGCTGTGCTAGTCAGATTCACTCTCTGCAGCGTCATCCGCTTTTTTACAGCGAAAGCTGTTACGAGACCACAACTCGGGTCTCGCGCAGCGCCGTAGTTGACCACCGCCGGTGTCCGTAACCACATCATGTGAAATTAGAAAAAATGCCTGCTACCAATGACAATGTGGGGCTTGAACACGGGTCCGCTGGGTGCCAGCCCACTATTCTACCACTGAGCCACGCCGGTGCTTGGGACTTGTTGGCAAACTTGCCTTAGGCAGGCTTGATGTTGGGAAAGCAATCATGCTAATACGACTTATAAAGCGTTTTAAAACGGAGGAAGAACAAGCGGTCGTTGCACTATGCGAATAGCATAACTAGTGGGTCGTCCAATGATCCCACCCATTACAAAAGCTTGTTTTTGTTCAGCTATTAACTGTGGCGCAGGCCCACTTCAGGGCATAATTCCTCAACGTCGTCAGCCGCTGCATGAACAATTGGCACAAAATTCCTCGCAATAGTTTAGCGGATACCACGCTTTTCAAAAGGAATGACGAAAAATGGCATAGCGAATGCCGCAATACTACCCTAGAATTTTTATTATTAATGCCATAGTGAGCACCAAGCAAGTGTGCTTGCACCAGTTGCCCAGTGAGTGTTTAGAAAAGGCTCTGAAAGGCCACTCTTCTAGCTTTCGCTGTGACGCTGGTGCACCTTCCGTGCCGGCCTGGTAGGTTTTTTTTTTTTTTCATCTCTTATGCATGCCTTTCACAGGTAACTGCTTGGCTGCACATGAGCATACTCTTGACCATTTCTAAAATGTGCTCCATGGTATGACGCTGCTTATTTAAAGACTACTTAAAGATATGGTGAAGTGCATAGCATAGGAGAAGGCGCTTGGAGTTCAGTGTGCTTGCACATCGTCGGCAGATCTCATTGCCTTTCAAGAATATTAGACTCTGCCATATCCCACAATCATGCAATACTATTAAAATATTTAAGAGGGTACAAATACAGGAAACGGAACGAGTTGGCCTGACAATCAGACTGAAACCTTTGCAACATTTGCACTATGTTCATACCAGTTGCTTTTCATATCTTCTTTCTTGCTTATTTTTAAAACATGAACAAAAAGATCGTGTACAAGATGGGGGTTGTTACAGCTTCGTGACATTTTCATTTGGTCCTCGTGTGAGACATTAGGTATTGAGTAGTTGCTACTACTCGGAGCATCCCATAGAAGGTACTCCCGCTAGGTTCAACAGAAAGTGGCCATTTTTTCTAAATGATACTAGTGCTGTTTCAGTTAGTCAGCCAACATTTTCTAAAGGACTAAGATGAAGAAACTCAATAATAAATTTTAGGGCATTTTATACTAGAATCACCTCGCGATTATGAGGCATGCCACAGTGGATTCTGCCAGGAAACACCTATACACACACAACGCCTGCATTTGCCTCTACAATTAAACACAATCGCGAAGCTGTTCAACTGTAATTCCTACCAAGTTTACAAGGGCAGGGCTGCATTATACCGCTTCATCAATGGAATAATTGATTACAGTGAGGGATAACAGCTAAAAGTAATTTTTAAGACTGCTTGAAATTTATTTGTGGATAATTAATTACTCATAACTTGTTATGTAAAAAGTGTCATTCTTTAATTCAGAGATTGCGTGTATGTATTTATGAGCAACATTCCTTCAAGTGAAAACTCAGCAGTGTTGCTTGTGTGCAATCTTTTACTCAGACAAACCAATGCTGCAATACTGCTCTTAACAATGAATGATTTTTTGTCGCCATAATAGTGACCACATTTCTCGCCATTCCCCTCCCAGCATCGGCAAAAGAATACCTATCACTGGTATACTTCATTCCGTAATGATGAAAAGTAAATTTTATCCAAGATAGTTGAACTGTGTAATTGTATAGAAAGTGGTAGGAACAGGAAGTAATTATTGTCCAGGAAAGATTAAGCCTACTCAAGTGTTGGTTCCTTGTTTTATTAGCATGCTGACTCGTTCAGTATTTCACTATGCCACCTTGGCAAACTGACTGACCTAGGTGATACCACACTTGTGTTGTGTCCGTATGAAAGTATGAAAACCGGGTCGACTACCCACTAACACGGTATTGAAATATTATACTAAAGTAAAAGCTCATTTTCAATCTATATTGACCTACTTCCCTTCTGTTGAAACTTAACTTACCAGCATGAAAAAAAAGGCTTAGTTGCAGATAGGGCAACTAAGCTTTAACTCTATGCAAAATTTTTTGCCTGAAATAACACTTCAAACAGAAAGCTGTGCAAAATAAGTATCACTTATACGAAAACTGGAGAAAATTGGTCTCATTAGCGCTCCCTGTGTTTGACATGAAACCAATAACCTTAAGAAGTAGCACAACTTCTCAGCATCAGTTGCAGGACTTGTTAAATCCCGCATCGCATTTACTCGTCACAGGAAATGCATGTAGGTGTTTGAATTTGTGTCATAGCTGCTAACTACTAGGCGGAAGCTTGGTCTGCTTAGTAGCTGATTAAAAATAGTTGCTTAGTAAGTAGAAAATTGCCAACCCTACAGCCTTAGCAACAATGCTTGAATATGTACGGTTTCTACAATTTATATCAAATTAGCTAAAGCATACAAACGAGAAGCGGAAGGCTTGAAGTGATCGACTATGGTCTGACAAGGGCTGGGCAGGTCTAGTGTTTTTTTTCTTTTAATTGATCACAGACACGTCTCTTGTTTTGATACTGTCCAGCAGTTACGCCAGAGAGAGAGATAAAGGAAAGAGTAATAATTAATAGTTTCTGTAGTTTCACATCCCGAAGTCATGATATGATTATGAGAGGCTCCGATGGCTTGGAAAATATCGACCATCTAGTGTTCTTTAATGTGCACTGATATCGCACAGTTCACGAGTCTTTACCATTTCGCTATCGAAATGCGACTGCCGTGGCCGGGATTGAACCCACGACCTTCGGGTAAAGATGATAGGAAGGCAGGGACATTGAATAGAAGGTAGTAAACTGGATTGTCTAGAATGCCAGGGAGTGGAGCTAGTTGGCAAGCATTCATTCTAAAAAGACTGGGCTTGTGGACCACCAAAAACGCCGTTCGTGGTGTCAGGACCTTTTTTTTTTGTGTGTGTGTCCGTGTTCGCATGCCCTGTTTCTTTCTAAATAAGCCAAAGTGACTTGGTTGCTTTTATTTTCTAAAGGAAGATTTTTTCTTTTTGCTCAGGTATTCAAGCTAAAGCGCTCCCTGAGCATACACATGCGCGCCATTCACAGCCAGCAAGGTCGTCGGCAGTGTGAGCTCTGTGGCAAGTGGCTATCCACTGAGCGAAAGTTGCAGCGTCACGTAGCCTTGACACATTATGGGGACTCTGTCGATGCACAAGACACTGCGTTTTCTCTGCTGCGGCTTCTCAAATGCAATCACTGTGACTTCCAGAGCTTTAGCTACTCGCGGCTCGCAAGGCACAGGTATGCTTTCGGGAGAACTTGCTTTTGTCTAACTGAAATCAAATAGCACTGTGCAGTGTCTGTCTCGCCTGGGCTGTTCAACTTCAGTATGCTTTATGAACACGCCCATTCTTCAACCCTACCGTGCTCTCAGGCTATTTCGTGTCTTTTTAATGAAACACTTTTCATATACAAGTTAAATTTCTTAAGTTAAAGAGTTAAGTTTATTTACCCGCATTCAGAGCGACCACCAATTGCCAAAGTTAGTTGTTCTGCTGCACACCCCATGCCCTCAAAAAAAAAAAAAAAAAAAAAAAAAAATCCTTGGTAGCTTTGCACCAGAAGTTTACAGTTGGCGAAGCTGGATATAGCACGTCTCTACATATACGCAATGTAAAGTTCACCTTTTCAAGAGTATGAGGTCTGAAAACTAGTTCAAGTCTAACACAGCCAGACGAGAAATGCACCACGTAAAAAAAAAAAAAAGCTGCTGTTCAAAGGGGCAGTGCATGGATATTGTTAGTCGGGCGGTGTGTGACCTAAATGTGTGTACTTGTGCGTGTGTGTGTGTGTGCGTGTGTTTACATATACAAGGTAAATTTCTCAAAACAAAATGCACCACTGCCTGCCTACACTTTTAACACTTAATAAAAGAACTATACTTATAATACAATGGTTACAGCAAATTTACGCTGATTAACAGACAGGCTATATATACAACTGTCATTTGTTAATATGTTTAAGATAACCCCTTCTGCGTAGAGTTCATGACTTGGAAGTATGCGTGTTCCTCGAGCTCGGCTTCCTGGCTCAGCCTCCTTGTAATAGTAGCTCCTTGGAGCTTGCATAAAAGAAGCAAAGTAAGCGCTATAGCACAAGGTTAAAACAAGATAAGCTTTTCAGAAAGCATTATTATCTTCCACAAAACTGGCATGATGAAATTGAGTCGTCACCGATATAAATGTTGTGACAACGTTACTTATACTCTGGCTTCTCATGAAACAATCGAGCGCATGTGGACTCATGTGAGGAACAGTGCTCTGGATATTGTAGGACTTCTGTAGCTGCTGCCACATATCCATGTGGAAAGTACTTTATAATATTTTCTAGAATATGTTGTACGTTTAGTTACCTGCTTAGAAAGTCTCAGTTCTTATCCTTGATAGCATCTTTTCCCGTAATTTTTTTTTATGCACAGCCTCAGAGAAACTGCCTGTTTATTTATCCTCTGCTTTGCACAGGGTGACACACACAGGAGTGTACCCCCATCAATGCCCTGAGTGCAACAAACAGTTTGTGTTCCGTGATCAGCTGACACGGCATGTGCAAAGCGTGCACCGTAAGGTCCGGCTCACCTGCCAGCAATGTCCGCGCCTGTTCTTCTCCGAGAAGCTCTTTCAGCAGCACCTCGACGCACATCGGCTGGGTCAAGGGTTCCCTTGCACGTATGTTGGCTTACACTTCAATTACATGAGCCCTGTCTCTCTGTTGCAAGCCACATGTATTTACTGATGAGCTAGTTAAGGAGCCATGATATTTCATGGAGCGCTGCACAAAGGACACAATCATGTACACATGAAAATGACGCAAACACAAGCACTGGACGCCAACAAGTGTGTCCAATGTTCTTTACAAAAATGAGGAAAAGGCGGTATTTGTTTGCTGTCCTCCCAGCTGCCTTTTCTGTAGTGGCAGGCATTTTAAGACGGTTGAAGACATTATTCAGATCAGTAATTAGGAAAGTTAAATTAACATTTTAATTAGCAGTTAGGCAGTTAAGCCAAATAAGAGAATTTAAGCCCTTCATGGGAAGAACCCGTTGCAACTTTAAGATTTGGAAAAGGCGACCTCAAGTAATAACTGCAAAGTAATGAAATTCTCCTAAACTCTGCGGCGAAACCGAATCCAAAGCACGGATAAGCGCAACATGCAGGCGACTACAATGACGTCATTCTTCAAAACAGCAGTTGCAGAGGTGCAGTTTTTCTCGTTCATTAACGTATGTGTGTCATGTGTGTTGTAATTGCTAGCGCAGCCCACACACCTAGACAACGAAGTCGGTTGATGGTTGGTATAGGATCGCTCGCTCGATTTGGACGTCTCAAATTAGTATCGCAGTTGCACTCTTTGGCGTTCCGTTTTCAGTTTCGCCTCAGAATTGAGGAGAATTTTATTAGTTCGCAGTTATTACTAGAGACCGCTTTTTCGAAATGCCAGAGCCGCAGGGGGTTCTCCGCATGAAGGACTTAAATTCTCCCATTTGACTTAACTGCCTGACTCCACTAATTAAGTAGTTGATTAATTTAACTTTCATAATTACTGATCCAAACGATGTCTTCAACCATCTTAATTAAGATGCCTGCTACTACAGAAAAAGTGACTGAGTGGACAGTGAGGAAATACCGCCTTCATTTTTTAAGAATATCAGACACATTTTTTTAAACACCCTGTATATGCACGCACTCACTCATGAAAGCGATGTATGATCACTACCCCAAAACAACTAGCATAGAAACATTTTTTTTATATTTAAAAAAGCACAGATATTACTTTTTTTTTATCAATAACACATCATATCATTGCACTCTTTGCGATCTTGACCATACATCACTGCTGTCAGTTTGCATGTGTGTGTTATTTTGTAAGAAATGGGCCCTTCAATGCAAGAAATCAGCTGCTGTCCGGCTGTCACTTTTAGGTGTGCGTGATTGCATCATATGTGCGTTGCTTCGTCAAATGTCATCCTTCCTCTTGAACAACAGTGAGTGACGATGACAGAAACTAGTTGATTATATTGAAAATTATTAACAAATCTGATTGTGAATAGTTAATTACGTATAACTTTTCACATGCAAGCCTCAATTGCAGAGGTTTGCACTTTGCAGAACTTGTGTTCTGGGTGCTCGTGTGACAAGGGTATTACTCTTGCCTTTTGAGAACACTATCTTTGAGAAGATGCCTGTCATGCCAGGAGCACCTTAAGTATTGTTTTATAGTGAACGAAATAAGGCAACTGTGCTTTATTCAATGATTAAATCTATTAATTGGTCTAGGTTCAGTCACTGTGAATTATGAAGAATGGAATAAATCCTGCTGTACTTGGGAGGCCGTGTTACGCAAAACTTTCCTTGAAGTGTCCGTAAATTTAGGTGCTGTTGTTTGTGGTGGCGTCGCATCACATTGAGGTAGTAGTGCGATTATTGTTAGTGTCTTACTTCCCCCACTATAAACTGTTGTTCGATATTAGTGTGTTTACCCGTTACTCACCCAATAAGCGTGCCAGCTTATCTGAATTTCCACCCCATATTTTCTTCTCTCCCCCTTGTTTCTCACCTACCCTCTCCTCCTCCATTATTGCGGCTGGTGAAGAGCATACGAAGCGCATACACACGCGCGCTAAGGCGGGCAGTTAATGCCTTGAGCAATACTAAACCACTTGATGGAATGGTAGCTCTAGCGACGCCCCCTTCATAGGATTTACCATCCTTGCAGTTGCCCAGTATCGCACCAGGTGTCACACCATGTCAACTGTAATGGGTGGGCCCATTAAAGCCATATGCCTATTAAACATGGGTATGCCACTACTCATAACCCTTTTAAGCCCGACCGTAGCTTTCTTCATAGTTTGGTTAGCACGGGCATCTTCATAGGCTTGACAACAACGAGCATACTTGCACAGCTTTTGTTCACCATGGCATTGCAATAGTGTTATCGGGCTTTGTGTTCACAATCAGCAAACTGTCCATAGTGTCAAACTATCTGCGAGGTACTCTTCACAAAGTACTTTTTGGATTACATGGCATACCTGGCAGTGTTTGGATTAACGTGTGTACGCTAAAGCACCACTTTCCATGCACGGTACTTGCTGCAAGTACTGTCAAAATGCTTATGTTGGATGCTTAAGAGACTGCTCGTCGTTCTTATCTTGCTGCATGTTTGTTTGGGCCCGGTGTTTTCTTTTTTCATCTTTTATCCAGCCCTAAAGCTATCGGTGCAATGCGTGGCACTTGTCCATGTAAAACATGCCATCTTTTTTTATGCTTGTTTCTCTTGTACAGCATGTGCAACAACTTCTACGAAACAAAGGCAGCACTGGACCACCACAGCCAAAGCCATGAAGCAGGTCTACCTTTTCAGTGTGAACTGTGCCAGAAACGGTTTAAGCACTCACAGGTAGTGTAGACTTATTACTACAGATTGATTGTGTGGGGTCTCGATATGGCGAACGCACACCACGCCACGCTGTTGGAGTGAATAGACACAGTTGAAATGGCTGGTACAAACCAAACATTTATACATTTATTTAGCTCATTTAAAACGACGCTATCGTCCGCCGAATCAATACATCAATTGTACTAACACGCACCATACAAACAACATAACACAGTAACACACCAAACACACAATAACACACCCAAGGCGGCGTCACCAACGCTTGACTTACCGCGAGGGCCCCCCGACGCGCAGGCCCGCGGTGCCCCGCGCCGAGGGCCCACGCTATAGACAACCAACCGTTTGTGGCAGCTGCCACGTGCAGAAGAGGCTCGCTCAACTCTCGCCCGCCACCAAGGCCTGCCTTCTGCCAGGGGTCACCACCGGCGCTACCACTCTACCAACAGTGGTACTCAACGCGAACACAATGCCACCTATCGCCCGGTGGTCGTCACCCGAAATGCGGCCTTGGGGCGAGGCACGTGCGCCACACGGCGCAAACAACTTTACAGGGGGTGTCAGCACCCCCACAATTGATATGTGAGGTTTAACGTCCCAAAACCACCATATGATTATGAGAGACGCCGTAGTGGAGGTCTCCGGAAATTTTGACTACCTGGAGTTCTTTAACGTGCACCCAAATCTGAGCACACGGGCCTACAACATTTCCGCCTCCATCGGAAATGCAGCCGCCACAGCCGGGATTCGATCCAACGACTTGCGGGTCAGCAGCTGCGTACCTTAGCCACTAGACCTCCGCGGCGGGGCTTATTACTACAGAAATTCAAGTTTTCACCGCAATAGCTGGCTGCAACCGTCAAGACCTTGTTCTAACCTTTCTCTTGGTTGTCGTGTAAGAGCATATAATAACAGTGTAAGAACGACTGGCAAATCAAGAGGTGTCCCGCATCCCTTTCACAGGCATGCCAGTTTTTTTGTATCAACAAGCTTTAGCACGCTGTGTGGGCCTCACTCCCCTGTCTGGTCTTTATTATTTTTTCACAAGCCCTCCACATGCTCGTTTCAAGCACCAGTGCTTGTTCTTTGGATGTGGTCATGTTCATCCATGTGCTTCGATGTTCTTGCAGCTAGTGAACCCATGGCTGCTATGGACTCACTTCTGTACCTTTTACAATGTCTAGCAGTGTGGTGTTGGAATTTCAAGGTGCTCTTATGCAAAGTTATAAACGACGTAGTAAAAAAGGGGTAATAATAAGCAGTACACACTGCAATAATTAAAACTGATTACCAACAAGTTAAATGTCTCAGATATTTTGCAGCATTTCCCTGATGCTACATTTGGTTATGTCCACCAGCTGCCACAACTGGTTTTTGCCATGCTCTGAGAGCTCATCTATAAACTGGCGCTGAAGTGAACGAGTTAAAATGAAGCCAACACTAAAGCACACGACACGGACAAGATAAGGGGAGTCAGAAAAGGCATCTCTCTTTTTAGTTTGCGAAAGGCCGCTCTGCAAGCAAACACGACTTCAGCTGGTTGGTAAGATGATAGTATGGCAAAGTGTATGCAAAGCATACAAAATGGTAATGGTGGTAACTTGCAAGCATTTACTTTAACTGATGCGGCGAGAAATAGTGCAGAAATTCTACCTTGTCTGCAGAACTGCTTTATCATTGCTGCTTTGCGCAATGTCATTTGTGGCTTAAAAGTGTGGCGATTTGGGCTAGTTGGTATGACATGACGATAGTTATAGCGCAAGAACAGAACGACGAAAAATCGTCTCCTTCTTGTCCCTTTGTCGTCGTTCTGTTCTCATCCTACAACTATCGTCATGTCAATTGTGGACCACAATTCAGGTTTTCTTCCTATGGCCGAGCGCCACATGTGGTGTCTTAGATTCATACAAGCCACTTTTGCAGGGTCTTTCCATTCATCGGAGGTACTGGCACAACCAGGAGTCAAGGTCGTCAAGCCGCTGGAGGAGCGGAGACCACACGTGGCGACACAGCTGTGACGTCTGCCGCATTCGCTTCAAGTACCAGAGCAGCCTGGCCGCTCACAGGCTGAACCGGCACACTGACACTGAGCGACTCACTTGCCCCTACTGCAGCCGCAGGTTCAACTCGTTGAGCGTTTTGGCTCTGCACATTCGCTCGCACACAGGCGAAAAACCTCACGTGTGTCCGCACTGCAGCAAGGCGTTCAGCATACCGACCAACCTCAAGAACCACATCATCACACAGCACACAAAGGAGTTCAAGTTCTTCTGTCCGCTCTGCTCCAAAGGTGCAGTCAGCCAAATAAAACTGCGGCAGCATTTGCTCCAGTCACACAAAGCCACAAATGACTCCTCAAGCAAGTACAAGAGAGCAGTGACGACGACAGAACAGGACACGCCAGATATGAATGACTTTCCCATTTCTCAAGTGGCTGTGGAAGACGCGGTCTCCATTTTGTCACAGATCTTCATGTGAACAAAGAGCCGGTTTTAAACATTGTTTCGCTGTATTAACACAACAAAGCGACTTCTGCAAGGAGTAGTAATTGAAGTCCTACATTATGATGTAAATGCTGTTGCTGCATAGAGAAACGATAGTAATGGTCAGTTGTATGCTTCTATAAAGAAAGAAGTAAGAAGCATGACATACGTTTGAATGATTTCCAATCGCTGACATCATGTGAGAACACATAGTTTAAAATTATTTTTCAAATGTGAATGGTATTTTATGTTTTTATTGATGTGCAGGTAAATTGCATAAATTAAGTTTTGGTTTCTGTTTCTTTAAGCATAGTTGTTATTGTGTATGTATGTTGTAGTTTATGTTGGATAGAGGTTCACGCAAGTGCTTATTGTATGCACCAGTAAACACCTGTTGCCAGATGCACTTTTCTATACCTTTGTCGTTTTCGTCAGCTCCCTTCATACCTTTATAAATTTATCTCTAGAAAGATAGACAGACATGATGTAACCATAAAATACATTCTACAGCAGCACAAGTGAGAAATAATATGTTCTCTAAAACGAGCTTTGTCAAATTTACAGAATTGATGCTTCATGCAAGAACTATTAAACATTCTCTGACATTAATTCTGTACATCCACATCTAACACTATGCCTTCTACTTCTTTTATTAGCCTTAGCTTGTTTTCAAACAATGAGCATCAATGTTGCTTCCATTTTACTTTTTAATGCTGCAATCCTAGTCCCTACAGATTTTGCTTGAAGTGCCTTTATAAACATCACATTCAAGTTTCAGTGCACTGAAGAAACTAAGTGTATACAAGGTTAATTAAAGATATTGTTCCTGGACAAGATGTACCCAAAAGAATCCTATTCTTTCTCTACATATTTTTAGTGTAGTGTTTTCACATTATGAACACTGTACACTTTTTTTTTTATTGTCCTTTCAGGAAGTGTATGGAAGAGATAACTTGTCAATAAAACCAAGCTTCACAGAAATTTGAGGGTCAAGAGCAACTGTTCAGAAAGCACAAAACTCGTAATCCTTGCTATTGAAAGCACAGTCCATGTGCTTAAAGGACCCCTCACACCAAATTTGAAATTCAAGATGCTTGTGTTGTTTCATAGTCCTGTATGCAGGGCCAAGAAGATATTTTAATTTGGTTTTAAAATAAGGCTGAGTTCTCTTCCTAGTATTCAGGTGCAGTCGATATTTTCTGTAGATTGAGGATGACCGGGACTCCCCTTGTGATGCTGCAGAGGTCAACATTTGCAGGGTGTGCAGGATAGCCCAACTGTCACCCAGTGAGGACTATTGTTCGTCATCCCTCTGGTTCTGTTGTCGGGCTGCTCTCAAGGAAGTTTTGGCTGCTTATACCAGAAATGCTTTTCTTTTTTATTAAGAGGACATGCTCAAAGCACCCACATCGTTTCATTCTTCGCTGCACACCAATCCCCCTACTTGGAAACAGCGCATGCCAGCGTCGCGAAAGCTTGAGCGCAGTCATAGCGCAGTGTCTGAGGCGCTACTATGCTGTGGGGTGCTAGTTTCTTACAGTATTTAGGCAGGTGTTTTGAACTGATGTAAGATCGCTCTGAATTAATGCCACTAACAGTAATTAATTATATGGTGTGTTAAAGCATTTACGATACAATTTTTTCAATACCAGACACAAAGCTACAAATTACTGTAAAAAAACTCGCTAACAAAACTTTTGCTGTCAGGGGTCCTGTAAGTTCTGTGCATAGTATTGCCAATTGAAATGTGTGGCTGTTGAGTCAATGTAAAACTTAACCAAAGAAATTGTTTCTTGCCTTTGTGATTCCATTGAAACACCCTGCCATTCTCAATTGTTTTGTCAAGGACAGCTCAAGACTATTTACATGAAGCACATAATACAAAGGATTCTGACATAAATTTAATATCCTGTGGTGCCATTCTCCGATTCCTCTTGCAAGTTCCTTGATGATGTCAAAGGAGCTACAGACAAGGAAGAAATCTTCAAAACTGAACAAGCGGCGGAAGGTGGGCTAGTTGGTACATTAATCAATAGTATGATATGGCTACATGACAAACATGGCTGCTACACATTGTGAAAATTTTAAAACGAACAAAACACTGGCGGCAAACATACAATGTGATGAGGAGAAAAGCATGAAGGAAATGTTATCTCCCAAGGGGCTTATTTTCTTTATTACATGCAACTAATGTATCTGACAGAATTTCCTTGGCTTAATTCTGTGTCAATTTTCATTCATCATCATCAGCCTGACTACGTCCACTGCAGGACAAAGGCCTCTCCCATGTTCCGCCAGTTAACCCGGTCCTGTGCTTGCTGCTGCCAATTTATACCCGCAAACTTCTTAATCTCATCTGCCCACCTAACATTCTGTCTCCCCCTAACCCGCTTGCCTTCTCTGGGAATCCAGTTAGTTACCCTTAACGACCAGCGGTTATCCTGTCTACGCGCTACATGCCCGGTCCATGTTCATTTCTTCTTCTTGATTTCAGCTATGATATCCTTAACCCCCGTTTGTTCCCTAATCCACTCTGCTCTCTTCTTGTCTCTTAAGGTTACACCTACCATTTTTCTTTCCATTGCTCGCTGCGTCGTCCTCAATTGAAACTGAACCCTCGTTTTAAATCTCCAGGTTTCTGCTCCGTCGCTAAGTACCGGCAAGATACAGCTGTTATATACCTTCCTCTTGAGGGATAGTGGCAATCTACCTGTCATAATTTGAGAGTGCTTGCCAAATGTGTCCACCCCTTTCTTATTCTTCTAGTTACTTCAATCTCGTGGTTCGGCTCCGTGGTTATTACCTGCCCTATGTAGACATAGTCTTTTACAACTTGAAGTGCACTATTACCCATCTCGAAGCGCTGCTCTTTTCCGAGGTTGTTGTACATTACTCTCGTTTTCTGCAGATTCATTTTAAGACCCACCTTTCTGCTCTCCTTGTCTAACTACGTAATCATGAGTTGCAATTCGTCCCCTGAGCTACTCAGCAATGCAATGTCATCGGCAAAGCGCAGGTTACTAAGGTACTCTTCATTAACTCTTATCCCTAAGTGTTCGCATTCTAGGTTTCTGAAAACTTCCTGTAAGCACGTGGTAAATAGCATTGGGGAGATTGTGTCCCCCTGCCTTACATCCTTCTTGATTGGTGTTCTGTTGCTTTCTTTATGAAGCACTATGATAGCAGTTGGTCCCCTGTAGATTTCTTCCAGGATGTTTATATATACTTCATCAACGCCCTGATTCCGCAGTGTCTGCATGACGGCTGATATTTCTACTGAATCAAATGCCTTCTAGTGATCTATGAAGGCTATGTATAGTGGTTGGTTGTATTCTTAGCATTTCTCTATTACCTGATTGGTAGTATGAATGTGGCTGATTGTTGAGTAGCCTGTTCGAAATCCTGCTTGTTCCTTTGGTTGATTGAATTCTAGTGTTTTCTTTACTCTGTTAGAAATTACCTTTGTAAATAGCTTGTATACTACAGAGAGCAAGCTAATCGACCTGTAATTCTTCAAGTCCTTGTCATCTCCTTTCTTATGTATTAAGATGATGTTAGTGTCCTTCTAAGACTCTGGTACTCTTCCCGTCAGTAGACACCTCGTGAACAGGGTGTCTAGTTTTTCTAACACAATCTGTCCTCCATCTTTCAGCATATCTGATGTTACCTGATCCTCACCAGCAGCTTTGCCTCTTTGCATGCTCTTCAAAGCTTTTCTGACTTCTATCATTACTGGTGGGGTGTCATCTGGGTTACTGCTAGTTCTTATAGTATTAAAGTCATGGTTGTCCCGGCTACTGTACAGATCTCTGTAAAACTCCTCCGCTATTTTAACTATCCTATCCATATTGGTAGTTATTTTGCCTTCTTTGTCCCATAGTGCATATATCCTATTTTCGCCTATCCCAAGTTTCCTCTTCACTGCTTTGACGCTTCCTCCGTTTTTCAGAGCGTGTTCAATTCTATTCATGTTATACCTTCTTACATCGAATACCTTACGCCTATTAATCAACTTCGAAAGCTCTGCCAGTTCTATTTTGTCTGTTGTACTTGAGATTTTCATGATTTGACGCTTCTTAATGAGATCCTTCGTTTCCTGGAAAAGCTTGTCAGTGTCCTGTATAACAACCCTGCTTCCAACTTCCACTGCACACTCCATAATGATACTCGTCAGATTATCTATCATTGTATCTACGCTAAGGTTGGTTTCCTCACTAAGCGTCTCTCATAATCATATAGTGGTTTTGGGATGTTAAACCCCACATATCAATCAAATCCTCACTAAGAGCCGAGTACCTGTTTTGAAGCGACACTCTAAATTTCTGTACTTTCCCTCTCAGTGCTAGCTCATTGAGTGGCTCCTTGCGTATCAGTTTCTCTCGTTCCTTCGTCAAGTCTGGGGGAATTCGGGACCATACCATTCTATGGTCACTGCATCGTACCTTGCCTACCACTTCCACATCCTGCACAATGCCTAGGTGTGCACTCATTATAAAGTCTATTTCGTTCTTATTTTCGCCATTAAAGGTCCTCCATGTCCACTTACGGTTTCCTCGTTTTCGGTAGAAGGTATTCAAAATCCGTAAATTATTGCGTTCTGCAAATCCTACTAGTAGCTCTCCTCTGGCATTTCTAGTACCGATGCCATAATCTCCTACTGCCTGGTCTCTAGCCCGCTTCTTTTCTACCTTTGCATTAAAGTCTCCCATCAGTATAGTATACTGTATTTTTACCTTGCTCATTGCCGATTCCACGTGTTCATAGAAGCTTTCAACTGAAGCATTTATCATGGCTGGATGTAGGCGCGTAAGCCTGTACTACCTTCATCTTGTATCTCTTATTGAGGTTAATTACGAAATCTCCCACCCTTTCATTAATGCTACTATAGTATTCCTCTATGCTACCAGCTATGTTTCTGTGAATTAGGAACCCCACTCCAAGTTCTCTTCTGTCAGCCAAGACCCGATAGCAAAGGACTTGCCCATTCTGTAGCACCGTCATCTGACCTCCTAACCTCACTGAGCCCTATTATATCCCGTTTAACACCCTCTAGCTCCTCGAATAGTAGACCTAGACTTCCCTCACTACATAAGATTCTAGCGTTAAACGTTGCCAAGGTCAGGTTCCAACGGCGGCCTGTACGGATCCAGAGATTCTTAGCACCCGCTGCTGCGTTGCAGATCTGACCGCGGCCGTGGTCAGTTGCTTCGCAGCTGCTGGGGACTGAGGGCCGTGAGTTATTGGACGTATGCATGAGGGAGGTAGTGGCCAGATACTACACCAGGGTGGCCAATCCTTCTCTGGTGAGGGAGTGCGTTCCCGGCGGTGGTTACCGGTGAGGCAGCACCCCAGGCCTCGTAGTGCAGTTCCATTACCACGTGGATTTTCTTTTATCCGGTTGGGAATTGCGCGGCACCGGGATTTGAACCACGGACCTTTTGCATGTGAGGCGGACGCTCTAACCACTACGCCATCGCTGCTCCCTAGAACAGCATAGTATGCCTTTTACAGCTCTCAAGTGCTCCAACTGCTACACTCACTTCCAAATAAGCAATCAGCACTGAAGTCCGATCAGAAAGTACGCTCATTAGTTGTCTCTGCTTATTCTATGAAAGGCGCATTCTTGTATATACAAGAAAAATAATGAAAACATAGTAACCCCCTAAAGTCAAAATTTGTCTGATCGGGAAAGAATACATCAATCATGAACACATGGTGCCAAGGGAGAAAACGTTTACATCAAAAGATATTTCAGCTCCTGCATGAGAGCTTTGACAGCAACAGCAAGAACACCACCTTCATTCATTTATAAGACCATTGTATCACTTTTTACAGGCGGTGCACATAAACGGAGAAAAGGTTATCGGTGCTGTTTGGTGCGTAACATAGCTCACACAAACTTCGGACCGACACACATTCGTAAAATTCCCACTGTGTTCAATGGGCCACAATTTGAATGTTCCAAACCCTTCTGCATGCCT